CAAATTCCGATCCGACTTCCGGTTCGGAAGTTATGGCGTTTTGAAAACTCAAAAATCGCTAAATTTGGTGCCCATGTTAAGTCAATGGGAAAAAAGATTTTTTTGAATTGAAAAAAACGGAATATAGACTGAGTTCAGCTTCACATAATCAAAGCCTTTAAAAGAAGGGGACCTCAAAAGCCATCTAGCTTCAAAATTTGGACACCAAAATGCCTAGGTCAATATCTAGGTCAAATTCATAGGTTTTCCTTATTTTTTCGATTCTGACACTACACTTTAATTATATTCTTCGAAATTGTGTATACATGTAGCCAAGAGTGTGCTGATAGCGTTAGCCTTTTGCCGTCAGAAAGTATTTTGACCCACTTTTGAGATATGGTGTCCGAAAAGTAGGTCAAAATAAAAAATTCTCCAAATTTAACGTTTGAGCTATGAATTAAGAGTATCGTTTTCTCAGAAATCCGAATCTGCAAACCAAATTTCGATCCGACTTCCGGTTCCGAAGTTTTGGCGTGTCCAAAAAGTAGGTCAAAATAAAAATTCGCCAAATTTAAGGTATGAGTTATGAAGTAGGGGTAGAATTTTGTCAGGAATCCGAATCTGCAAACTTATTTTCAATCCGACTCTCGGTTCGCAAGTTATGACATTTTGAAAGCTCAAAAATCGCTAAATTTGGTGCCCCATGTTATGTCAATTAGAAAAAATATTTTTTTGATGTGTAAAATACCAGATATAGACTGAGTACAGCTTAACATTCTAAAAGCCCATAAAAGAAGGGGACTTCAAAGGCTATCTAGCTTTAAAATTTGGACACCAAAAATGCCCAGGTCAAAATCTAGGTCAAATTCATAGTTTTTCCTTATTTTTGCGATTCTGTCATTACACTTTAAAGATTTGGTTCAAAATTTTTTTTACAGGTAGCAAAGAGTGTGCTAATAGTGTTAGCCTTTTGCCGTCACAAAGTATTTTGACCCACTTTTGAGATATGGTGTCCTAAAAATAGGTCAAAATAAAAAATTCTCAAAATGTCCCTTATGAGTTATGAATTAAAGGTAAAATTTTCCCAGGAATCTGAATCTGCAAACCAAATTTCAATCCGACTTCCGGTCAAAAATTCCTACTTACCTACCTACCTACATACCTACTTGGCTACCTACTTAGCTACCTACTTCTCAGCTACTTGGCTACCTACTCAGCTACTTACTCAGCTACCTACTCAGCTGCTTACTCAGCTACCTACTCAGCTACTTACTCAATTACTTAATCATCTACGTACTCAGCTTCCTACTCAGTTACTTACTCAGCTCTTTACTCAAGTAAATCAATCTGGAGTCTTAAATTGAACTTTGTTCAATTTACAAATCTAGTTATTCTTTCTTTCTTTCCGTACACATTTTCTCAGCAACTAGAAGAGCTTACTTTAATCTACTTACATGGCTAACATAGCCCATCGACCTAGTTTCAGGGAAATTAGGTCAACTTTTTATCTAGGTCAAAGGTTAAGAACTAGGTCAAATCTTACATTTTTAACATTCTGTCAATTATCTTCGTCATTATTTATCATAACACCTGAATGTACATCTCATTGTGTAGCTTAGAAAAAAACAAATCGAGAGTGTGCCATCTGTTTTTTGATTACTCTTACCGATTTTGAGATATGGCGTCCAGAAAGTAGGTCAAACTAAAAAGTTAACCAAATTTAACATATGAGCTATGAAATAAGTGTAGAATTTACTCAGGAATCTGAATCTGCAAACCAAATTTCGATCCGACTTCCGGTTCGGAAGTTATGGCATTTTGAAAACTCAAAAATCGCTAAATTTGGTGCCCATGTTAAGTTAATGGGAAAAAAGATTTTTTTGAAGTGAAAAATACGGAATATAGACTGAGTTTAGCTTCACATAATCAAAGCCTTTAAAAGAAGGGGACCTCAAAAGCCATCTAGCTTCAAAATTTGGACACCAAAATGCCTAGGTCAAAATCTAGGTCAAATTCATAGGTTTTCCTTATTTTTTCGATTCTGACACTACACTTTAATTATATTCTTCGAAATTGTGTATACATGTAGCCAAGAGTGTGCTAATAGCGTTAGCCTTTTGCCGTCAAAAAGTATTTTGACCCACTTTTGAGATATGGTGTCCGAAATGTAGGTCAAAATAAAAAGTTCTCCAAATTTGATGTTTGAGTTATGAATTAAGAGTAGAATTTTCCCAGAAATCCGAATCTGCAAACCAAATTTCGACCCGACTTCCGGTTCCGAAGTTATGGCGTGTCCAAAAAGTAGGTCAAAATAAAAATTCGCCAAATTTAACGTATGAGTTATGAATTAGGGGTAGAATTTTGTCAGGAATTCGAATCTGCAAACCAAATTTCGATTTGACTTCCCGTTTGAAAGTTATGGCGTTTTGAAATTTCGAGAAAAATCGATCTGATGTTATCCTGATAGAAAGTCAAGGAAAAAAGATTTTTTTGAAGTGTAAAATACGAGATATAGATTGAGTACAGCTTAAGATAATGAATTCCTATAAAAGAAGGGGACCTCAAAAGCTACCTAGTTTCAATATTTGGACACCAAAATGCCTAGGTCAAAATCTAGGTCAAATTCATAGTTTTTCCTTATTTTTGCGATTCTGGCACTACACTTTTAGGATTTGCTTCAAAATTTTGTATACAGGTAGCAAAGAGTGTGCTAATAGTGAGAGCCTTTTGCCGTCAGAAAGTATTTTGACCCACTTTTGAGATATGGTGTTCGTAAAGTAGGTCAAAATAAAAAGTTCTCATAATTTAACTTACGAGTTATGAATTAAGGGTAGAATTTTCTCAGGAATCCAAATCTGCAAACCAAATTTCAATCCAACTTCCGGTCAAAAATTCCTACTTACCTACTCGGCTACCTACTTAGCTACCTACTCAGCTACCTACTCAGCTACTTACTCAGCTACATACTCAGCTATTTACTCAGCTACCTGCTCAGCTGCTTACTCAGCTACCTACTCAGCTACTTACTCAATTACTTAATCATCTACTTACTCAGCTTCCTACTCAGTTACTTACTCAGCTCTTTACTCAAGTAAATCAATCTGGAGTCTTAAATTGAACTTTGTTCAATTTACCAATCTAGTTATTCTTACTGTTTTTTGACGTCAAATATCTCAAAAACTGTAAAAATTTGATGCTGACATAAAGTGAGCAATATGTAAAGAATGCTTAAATCTAGTAATGATGTAATTCATTGCAAGAAATGATCAAGTATAAGGCAAACTTTGAGAAACTTGTCAATCACAAAACCTGCCATTAACTTTATACATGAGAAAGTTTCCTGAAAATGACCAAGTCCTACTTTTTGTCAAATTTTATAGAGTAAACACCAAAAACTGTACTTCCAAGAGCTTTGAAATCTTCAGAGGACATAAGTTGCATATACAGCCACTACTACAAGTTATTTGAAAGTTCTACTTCAACAAAGTGTCTAGTATTTACAGAAAATTTGACTTTTTGACGTCAAAATCAGCAATTTCTTGGAAACCGGACAAACTTGGGAAATGGCGATGATAGGTCAAATAGCCATTATGGATATGCATAAAATGAATGTGGATATGACTCAATCAGAATAGCAGTTTTAATTTGTGCGGCCAATGTTGACGGACGGATGGACCAATGGACGGACGGACTGACCAATGGACGGACAGACGGACCAACGGACGGACGCCTGGTCAATCCCATAGGCTCACTTTGTGAGCCAAAATTACAAGATAATTGTAAAATTCAAAAGCAAGATGACTGAAATAATATCAGTGTGATGTGTAATATACAATACCATTAATCCAATTTTTTGAGCAAATGATAAATGAACTTTGCTAAATGTAAAATTACATAATAATTCTTATGAGACATCAGTTCTTTAAAAATAATGTCAGAACTGCCTTCAAGATTTAATTTATACATAAACAACTCTTGTCCCTGAATTTTCAATTAATTTATGAAATATCTAGTTTGTTCTATTCATAAACATAATACGCATTGTTGAGTATTACTTATCAGGCTAAAGAAGTATCTATTGCATCCCATATGACAATGTGTAGGTAATGAATTAAACACTGCGACTTCTGTATAGTATGGGACAATCATAAGTACACGGTATAGTAAAATCTGTAAGGTTTACTATGAATTTTTCTTAACTGATACGCTCCTAGGGTGTGAGATTCCTGGAAAATCACTAAAATTAATTCTCCAAATTGTGAACTTGAATATGAAGACTCAATATCTTTACAATGAAAAACAATTAAAAAAGCATTTACTTTAAGTTTTTATTTTAGAAATGGGGTAATAACTTGGAAAAGGTTAAGAATTGTGATGACTGCAAGGCGTATGGATTAAGAGCAACCTATGTTACTGGCATACAAAGGACTGGAGTCTTCAAACCATTCACTGATTGTCTCAAAAAATATAAATGCTGAAAAATATTACCATGTAGTATAGGAGATAGCTGAAATAAATATTTTCAAGAATTAGTAGAAAGATATGAAACGAATTGATCAGGTGTTTCAGCCTATGGAGAGGAGGAAAATTTTCAGAATGCTAACACATAAGAAACATAATAAATAATATTGTATGCTGTCATACTCTGTACATGTATTTCAAATATATATGTTTAATTTTACTCTCTCATATCAAAAATGATATTAATGAGACAAGTGATATCCTATTGAACATTCATATACAGCTGTTAAAAACATACCTAGCATATACGTATTGACATCTTCAAAGCTGATTAATGCAAAAGAGAAAATTGGATGTTAACTTTATAATCCATGATGATTACTCATTTCAAAAATTTGTTATCAATTTCTGAATTACCTTTCAAAACAAAACACACTGTATCTTTGTATTGACATTCCTATAAATGACTGGAGAATTAAATCAAATAAAATGTTAGTAATTGGTTTATTTATATTCATTAATATCACCAAAGTGAACAACAAATATAACAAGGCACTGACATGAAAAATATCACCACCTGCCATTTGTTACAAACTCCAACTGCCAATTACAAAACACCAACTGCTAAATGCCACAAACATCTCTGCTTTACCATTAGGTGATTATTGAATTATTGAAAAAGGCTTAGCGCCGAAGTTTTAAACTGTTTAAACATTTTATGTGTATGAAGACCTCTCATATATTAACTTGAGAGACTTCATATATAAATGATAATGATGAAATTATTGTTTATTCTTTCTACTACTGAAGGGAACCTACTTATCGCAACTGCAAGGTAAGATTTATATCTAAATTTTCAACTTTGAAGTGTTCTGCTTGAAATGTCATCACAGTTTGTGATGTCATTATTAACCATGAACTTATTGATTAAATCTTGATATATCAATCATAACAAATTAGGAAAAAAAAGAATATGGCACCATATTAAGTGTAGGTAAAAATGGCATATCAAAGTTTAAAACACATTATATCTTTACTTTTTATGTTTGATTAAAACTTCATTGCATGATAAGACTGAACAAACAATAATTTGGCATTCCGTAAAACTCCAAAATTCTCAGCAGTCCAGACCAATGAAACCAAGATAATGACTTTAAAGCTTTCAGCAAATTTTTGCAATAACTGCTACAACATGAACATTTGAAGTTGAAATCTTGAACATTTTTGGGTGAAGATGACCAATGCATACTATTATACATTACATATGTTCAATATGTAGGATACTATTGCAAACGGACAAGATGTGTGCTTCTATGTTTGTGTTGTTGGTTGTTCAATGAGTACTATTGTATTACAGATGTATAATATGTGCTATTATTTTACAGATGAACAAGATGTGTGCTTCTATGTTTGTGTTGTTGGTTGTACAATGTGTACTATTGTATTACAGATATATAATATGTGCTATTATTTTACAGATGAACAAGATGTGTGCTTCTATGTTTGTGTTGTTGGTTGTACAATGTGTACTATTGTATTACAGATGTATAATATGTGCTATTCTTTTACAGATGAACAAGATGTATGCTTCTATGTATGTGTTGTTGGTTGTACAATGTGTACTATTGTATTACAGATGTATAATATGTGCTATTCTTTTCCAGATGAACAAGATGTGTGCTCCTATGTTTGTGTTGTTGGTTGTACAATGTGTACTATTGTATTACAGATGTACAATATGTGCTATTCTTTTCCAGATGAACAAGATGTGTGCTTCTATGTTTGTGTTGTTGGTTGTACAATGTGTACTATTGTATTACAGATGTATAATATGTGCTATTCTTTTCCAGATGAACAAGATGTGTGCTTCTATGTTTGTGTTGTTGGTTGTACAATGTGTATTATTGTATTACAGATGTATAATATCTGCTATTCTTTTCCAGATGAACAAGATGTGTGCTTCTATGTTTGTGTTGTTGGTTGTACAATGTGTATTATTGTATTACAGATGTATGATATGTGCTATTCTTTTCCAGATGAACAAGATGTGTGCTCCTATGTTTGTGTTGTTGGTTGTACAATGTGTACTATTGTATTACAGATGTATGATATGTGCTATTCTTTTCCAGATGAACAAGATGTGTGCTTCTATGTTTGTGTTGTTGGTTGTACAATCTGTACTATTGTATAACAGATGTAAAATATGTGCTATAAGAGATACTAGAAAATAAACCTTGTTCGATGTTCTTTCATTCTACCAAGTAATTAGTCAATTCCAAATGGTTGCTATTTTATGGCTATTTTACAAAGCATTCTCAAAATGCTTGTCTCGTCTCTATAGGCAAACCTGAACACATCAAGTGAAGTTGTTCTAAATACACGCTCACAGATATCTTGTGAAATGGATCTCACCTTCCTTCTAAACTCTTGCTTAAACTTAAAAGGTAGACATTATCTTTAAAATACCCCAAAAGATAAAAGTTGGGGGTTTATATCGGGTGAATTTGTATGTTTCGCCATTTGGAGCAAATTTTGTAAAATGGCCATAAAATTGAGACCATTAAGAATAGACCTTCAAAGACCTTCATAGACCTTCAAAGAATGAAAGATCATTGGACAAGGTTTAAGAGTATCAAATATGACTTCAGTATATCCCGTGCTGGTTGACTGACTTATGAACATCTGTTCAGGTTATCTTTTTTGGCTCACCCTGTATAATTGTGTTTTTTATTACAGATGAACAAGATTTGTGCTTCTACGTTTATGGTACTGGTTGTATCATACTTGGTTTCTGCTGAATCCATCAATTCGGATTCTATAGAGTTAAATGCTGCAGAATCTAGTGAAGAGATTGAGAATGATTTCGAAGCTAAATGGGGAGTGGATAATGAGAATGTGAAAAACTGTGATGACTGCAAAGAGTATGGATGGGATACAACATATCTTAATGCAGAATATCGTGAAGAAAAACATAAGTTCTATGCAGAAGAATGCTTTAAAAAGTTTTGTTAGCAAGCCAAAGATGAATAAATCTATCAGTTAACTTACTAATGTATTTTTACTTGTCTTTACTTCACTTCAATTTGGCTTTCAAATATCCCCAGGGAAAAATAGCAATTATTTAAATGTAACAGTTTGTCTAGCAGTCATTGTAATGGTGGGACCTGGTTTGAGCACATCCTCTACTTATTCCCATATCCAACCTTCCTTACCACCATGCCCAAGTTGGACTTAAATTACAACCAAACTTAAAACTATCTAACTTTTTACCTGATTTTGAATTTAAGAGCAGTGAGAAGTGACTTCTGAAAAATATGCAAAATTGGGCCTCATTGAAATTTCTATATTTTGACAAAAAAACTCTATTATCATACTTCACTAAAATGTTTTCAATCAAAAATCTCATAAAGCCGTGTTGCAGTGAAAGAAACATAGTGATCAAGCTATGTGGTATTTAAGATCACATGGTAACACCAAAGAATACAAATACTGGGATTCTGGCTATTTATTCTGCTTCATATTTGATGTAGGGTTATAACTGAAATGCTGGTAATAAAACTATGCAAATTCTGATGACGTCATCACTACAAATTTAACCAATGAGAAGCTACTAAATAAAGGCACCAATTTCAAACTCCTTTTCATTGCCTTTGGTAATATTCAGTTCATAAATTCAATTATGGTATAATTTTTATAAATATGTCGTAGACTTAACAACATCAATGAACTGCAGCGAATCTTCAGTTAGGGTAAACACTTTGAGTACTTACTAAGGGTGCGATAAATAATTGTGGGATTGCATTATTGACGTAACAAGGGTCTCAATTAATTGTGTTGACTCCAGTGTCTATAATATTGACTTAAAAAGGCCTGTTTTAAGTTGCTAACGAAAACATAATTACAACCAATTGGCTTGTACTATGTAGAATGCTTTATAATCTTGACACAGTTAACATGTTCAAGGCGCTTACCTGTTGAGGGGACTGAACTGGCTCAAACTCATATTCACTCCCTGGTTTTGGCTTGCTCAGCGTTCCTAATCCATTCTCAATAGCACTTTGCTCAAGCATGAGGCAAGCCCTGTGCCATAAGTTGTGGGTACGTCCAAGGTACTGAAATACAATATCATAGAGCATAAGGGAGAAGCTCAATAAGTTGCGGGTACGTCCAAGGTACTGAAATACAATATCATATAGCTTAAGGGAGAAGCTCAATAAGTTGTGGGTACGTTCAAGGTACTAAAATACAATATCATATAGCTTAAGGGAGAAGCTCAATAAGTTGTGGGTATGTTCAAGGTACTGAAATACAATATCATATAGCTTAAGGGAGAAGCTCAATAAGTTGTGGGTACGTTCAAGGTACTGAAATACAATATCATAGAGAATAAGGGAGAAGCTAAATAAGTTGTGGGTACATTCAAGGTTCTGAAATACAAGATTATAGAGCATAAGGGAGAAGCTCAATAAGTTGTGGGTACGTCCAATGTTCTGAAATACAATATCATAGAGCATAAGGGAGAAGCTCAATAAGTTGTGGGTACGTCCAAGGTACTGAAATACAATATCATAGAGCATAAGGGAGAAGCTCAATAAGTTGTGGGTACGTCCAATGTTCTGAAATACAATATCATAGAGAATAAGGGAGAAGCTAAATAAGTTGTGGGTACATTCAAGGTTCTGAAATACAAGATTATAGAGCATAAGGGAGAAGTCCAATAAGTTGTGGGTACGTCCAAGGTACTGAAATACAATATCATGGAGCATAAGGGAGAAGCTCAATAAGTTGTGGAGAAAATCTGATGAGCGGTTTTCCTGAAATGGCGATGACAAAAAAGCGGGACGATCACAATCATGACGACTATATCCCAACGATGGTGATAAAAACAGCAACTCCACAGAGTAGGAGATCCCACCTTAATTATAAAACATATTTTTATCAAATTATTCGTGATGAATGCAAAATGTCGAACTCCGAATGCCAACCACTGAATGCCAATCACCAACCACCAAACACAATCTACAAAAATTTGGAGACTGTAATAATATGTCACCATTTGTGGTGGTGACATAACAACAGTGAAATGCTATTTAAAGTCTTAAAGCCTAGAAAGCCGCAAAAAATCTGGGGATTAATAAGAGAAACTTTTGTAAATATAATAATATAATTCGTAAATCAATTGTTGCAACTTTAGGAATTCTGAAGTTTAAAAGATGATCCATTGATTCACACAAAGTTTTGTATACCTTGAGAACTGGTGGACGTATGGGTATGGGTGGATGACACAATGCTATGCCTTCAACGAATGTATGTGCTGAGCTTGGGTGGCAGTCCTTCTGTATAGCATGGCTCCCACTACATAGGAATGGTACCAATTCACCTGCCAAACCCTACAAATAAAACATTACATGTACTTAAATTTCAGTAATGCCTCAGTCACATTTGATCAATGGCAACTAAATGGCTGCTATAGTTTACCAAAATCGAGTGAAATATGGAGAATAAAATATAGGGATAAGCAGTACGATTTAGATTTTCTATGTCGGAATTTGTGAAGCTATGGCCCCTTAAAACACATATTACATGCAGAATGTATTGACAGTGGATTAGTCTCTCTTTCATGAGAGTTTCGCTTCATTTCGTACAAGTGAAATGATTTCTGATTCCTAACCCTTTAAATAATATAGAGATTATCCATTATATGCGTAGACTAGAGAAAAATGTAATAAATAAATAAAAGTTTTTTTATCCTTTAACAAAATTGAGATTCCTGTTGTGGTTAAGATACATTATTTCTGCCTGTTTAGATTACATAAACAAAGACCTGTTTCTTCTTTAAAATACATTTTTTACAAACTTGCTTTGTGTGCCTCGTACACATAAAGGTAATGGATAAAATCTGAATGAATAAATGATTACATGTGGTCAATGCAGTATGTTTTCCTGTTGGCATCATCACCATGAATCTGGTTGAAAAATGCCAACAAATTAAAGGTTGTATGCAAAGTTTGAAAATAGTATATGATAAACTTTTGAATTCAGGTGACTGTATTTAGATGTCTTTAGACATTTATAGAACTTTTCTAGCTATACACTGAACGAAAAAACATTGTCTTGTCCCAGGATTTAATTTACATTTATTTGAGGCGTTCTTGCAAAATTATGCGTAATGTTTGAATGAAAAGGGTAATTGTGATTGATTAAGTACACTTTTTTGTTCTACTTGCCATCAGTTTCTGATGTTAGCTTTTAGCACAACTCGAGTTATTGAGAAATAAAACTCTTAAGTGGGGAATGTTGCAAAAATCTTGAGAAAAATATTGGTCAGTTAGAAAAAAATATTGGCCAGTTTCAAAAAATATTGGGCAGTTTTTTAAAAAAGCCAGATATGACCAAATTACCAGCAGCTTAGAACCAATCAGATTTCAGTATCTAGACAAGGTGCATAATAAAAGACAATACCTGCTGCTGTTTCTCAGTGAAGATCTGCCAGATACGTGGGAAGAGGTGCACCCATATACTGTTGGAGAGAGGAACAGAACTGTGGCAGATCTGAGAAAGTGCTGACAGGAAGGAGATAGTCTGGAATAACAAATTGATAATTATTAAAGAGGCAGTAAAGAATTGACATACCACATACCAATGTGTCCCTTACAATCAGAAACAAATATAGGAAAAAACATATAAGAGACATCCGATCATACATGAAGTACAGGTAATTTATTTTCTTCGGATATTCATCACACATTTCCAATCAGATCGATGTAACACTTCCTCGGCATGCAACACAATGTCTCTTTGACAACCAGATTGTGATAAAAATTTTGATTGGGTAAAGAGTTAAATAGTTTTTTAAAAACTTTTTTCAAAAAACTTAAAAATTATTTGAAATAGATTACAAGAAAAAACTGTGAAATCAAAGTTCTTCTTGTAAAAAATGCAACAATTATTCAAATATGTCATAAAATAGAACAAAATTTTAGTCTTTAATGGTTAAATATATGTGAATCTCCTAAAAAACAAAGCCTCCATTGAATTAGAATTTTACCTTGACATCTCTGCACTGTTCCAAGAACTTTGCCTGTCTTTGAATGAGAAGTTGAAGTCCTTGTTTGTTATCTACTTGATCCTTCTTGACCACCACTTCCTTGCTAAGGCTGGTAGCATCTGATGACTCCTCAGACAACTCAATGTCGATCTCATCCTAAAATGGGTCAAAGCTACCTCAATTTTTGTGATTAAAATTAAAAGGTCAAGGATAAATTCAAGAAATGGATAACTGGATTATTTTCATGACATTTGTCGGTAAATCTTTTATTGAAATTGCAATCTAATCAGTCATAGTAAAATAATTTTTTCTTGAGATGATGACTTGAGGTATTGAGTTTTAAGAAGTATTTAACGAACATGTAAATCAATTATGGAGTATAAACAGAGCAACCAGTCACCACCAGAAGTGACCAAATATTTCAGTTGGATATATTGCAGGAAACAAAGAGACAATAAATTAAATTTTCAAAAATAGATGTCTCTTGAAATACAATCCAAATGTCACCTCTTCTTTCTGCTGTTCAATTGTCTCCACATCCATTGGTTCCTCCTTAAGATTGGCCACCATGGCAAAAGCAGCACGGTCATGACTGTCAGCGAGACTCACTACAGATTTACATGATGGCAGCAAACATAGGGAGGATGCACTCTGAATGGAACAACCAGTAACAGCACAGCCAAGCAATAACTGAAAGTTAAGAAACAAAAATCAAGAAAAATGTCATTAATTCAAGTTTGATTGCCAATAAGTGATTTTTAAATGGCATTATAAGTAGGTCACACCAGGTAATACTGCGGTGACATTTGCTCAGCTTTTCAGTACTGGCACCTGACCGATCATTATTTGTTAAAAATTGCATTCAGTTTTGAACAAAATACTCATCGGCCGGGAGCCCATGTTGAGCAAATGTGACCACAGCATAATTATTGAATAGTTTGAGTGATATCCTCAGCAGATTTACTCTAAATGATAACCTTCAACATACTTATGAAACCAATGTAACAACGGTGTGATACTCATAGGCTATATCCATGCCCAGACAATACAAGGGAAATAGCCAGGACCTAAAATTTGGTGAAGCAAAAATGAGTAGGCGATGCAAATGTAAATAGGTGAGGCAAATGTAGTAGGTGGATGAATAGGTGAGGCAAATTATGACCAAAGGAGAACAATTACCAGTTGCCTCATGAATACAATGAGGTTATTCAAAATATGATCCAGATGAAACAGTGACATTGTATAGCAATCAACACTTCCTAATCGGTGATAAATGAAATATACAGTATTCTAATTTCTAAAAGGGCCTGGATTTTGCCCATGCTGTATTTATACCAATCAGTGAAACCTGTTAAGTGGAACACCACTGTTAGTGGAACACTTTTCGGATTCCCAAGACAAACTAACTTAATGTTAAATTAACATCTTTAAGTGGAACACCTCCCAATTGTAACATTTATTTAGAAGTAACAAATGTGTTCCACAAATACCTGAGTCACATTTGTTCCTATTCATCGATATAACTTTGAACAAAATACTCAATTGGTCGGTTGGTGGCTGATGAATCAGAGTGAATGTGACTCCGGCATAAGACAGGTTATACTGTATTATATGAATTAGTTAATCATGCTTAATTTACCATTTCAATTGTCACAATCTAATTGAGGTATTCCAGGTATTAAAGTACAATTACTGTTATGATGAAGTCAATTAGACTTTTAGATTACGAAACTCACATTTTCTCATGACAATAAGCTGCAAGGACAGAAATAGCATCAATGTGGAACATTTGTGCTGAGAAACAACAGACAATGATGTCTGTACTGTCACTTTTCTGAATAAACTCTTCAAAGTGATTAAATCAATGAAAAATGTTTAATGTATTTTAAAGTTGCTAGTGTAATTAGTTAAGTAGCTAGGTCTATTTGTAGCATGTACTGAATTGCATTTAAGCCCTGACTTATGTATCAATTAAAGGGTTTGAGCTCTTAGTAGCCATGTGATAAATGCAAATACATTTGGAGAGCATCGAAACCAGATACAATAATGTCTAAAACTAACTCTATATCAATGATCTTCATTTTTATTAGCTTTGATTATAATCCAAATGACAGCCTCCAGGGCACATAACAGTAGAAAAATATAATTGTTATATTTTATTTAAAATGTGTCCCGCACATTTAGCAATTTACAATTCTAAACAGAATGTTTTATTAAACTATTACATGTGTGGTATAAGTAGTTATCTACAGCAAATTTGGTACTGTCAGTTACATTTTGGATTTTTACTTCAAATATCCAAACAATTTCCATTATGTAAATTATGCTACCCATTAAGACATAATTACAACACAAAGTATCTTATGATTGTTTCAAGCTTCAATTAAAGTAGTTTGGATTAATTGGAACAGCAACTGTAAAGTTTCCTACATTCGTTTCTCAAACTTTTGCTCTTAGAGAAAGAGATGACTGGCATGATGTTATACGTGAGTAGCGTAACGTGGAAGTATATGAAATCAATTGTCACATTTGAACGGGAATGTTGCCAAGCTTTTATACTGAAGAGAACAACATGTAGGAAAAATATCCAGAGTATAATAAAGTTGTGCTTGATCATTGCTTTGTATTCTCTCATGAGAGCACGGTGGGCATCGCTTTGGATTCTGCTTTTAGATTTCGTTAGTTCAGTTCTATTACGGACAGTGTATTTCCTCGCACTGTTAGAGGACAGTGGCCGAAATGGTAGCTGCATTTTATTTATTTCTGTTTCGACTGAAAAAATGTGAGATATGTCACATCGAGGCAAAATATCTCCATGAGATACATGAGTTGGCTGTATATCAATTTTAGTGTTCTTCTTATATAGAACAATAATCATCCGTATATAGATAGCTCCCATTACCACTGAGCTGCAACATATAAGTGGCCATCGTACCATCAGGAACCCATGAGTGACAATGCCATCTATAGTCGTAAGGAACAACAAACATACCCATGGTAAAATCGACATAATAACCACAACCTTTAATGGAATCTGTTTGTATGGGTGCGAGAGTCTCCAAAGTCTAATTGCTCCTATTGTCGAGAGTAGCACGATACTCATGCATGTAATGCTGGTTTTCTCCATTAGGTGTCTCTGCTCTAATTGTACATAGAAGGGGCTCATTATCATCGCTTTTACTGTACCAATCATATGAATAACAGCCAGGTGAATATGAAAGTAATTATCACGTGTGTGAAGCGTCTTCACTTTATACATGAAGTACAACCAATGTATGTTGTAGCAGAGACAAATACAGCAAATCCCTAAAATGTAAATAAAGCCATAGTATCTCACAGTATCTCCCATATGTATAACAGTTCCATTGGCCCCAGAAATGTTCAAATTTACCATAGAGTGATTCATTATCCTTCTTCCCTATACTTTATCGTATTATTTGATGCAATAGATGATATCCAGGTGACTGTCAACCGTTGGTGCCTATTGCGCTAATGATATCTCATGTTGCGATGCGTGAATATTTATAATGCAGAGGCTTTCAATGAATGAATGAAAATCTTGTCTATTATACTGCACATAATAAAAGTCAATGAAGCTGTGTTACTTTGCAGACATAAATGTATGATAATTCAATCTTTGATAACTAATCAACAGCCATTTTGCAACTTATCATTTTGAAGCCGTAAAAATGACAACAAGCCATGAAACATTCACAAGTAAACTCAATCACATTGTTCTTTTGCCGGGAATGTTTCCTCCAATGGCACAGATTTTAAGGCAGTTCATTATAATATTCATGAGCTGACTGTTGAAGGATGAATCAAGAAGCAGATCCTCTATTTATCTGTTAATGTCTCTGGGTAGACAATAAAAACAACAACAATTGTCTGATTTAATTTTTTTCAATATGACCGGCCCTCAATAAAAAAATTCATTCATAACACAAATACCAATTCTTGGATTTGAATGAAATATTTGGAAATATGAATTATCATTTTTTGTTGGGAAACTTGAAAGCAAGGAATGATAAAATTAGGGGCCACATAAGGTTACATTGAATTTTTTTTGAAATCTAAGTAAATCTTTGAAAGCAGTTTCATCTATGGTTCTAATAAGATATATCATCATGATCAGAGTTCTAAGAAATCTGTTGTAAAGATAATACCATTGACTTGAATAAATAATAAATATCCTAATCATGACATGCTGAATAATAGGCAAAGTCGTGTTTAAATCTTCTTTAAACAACAAGTATTCTTAGACTACAAGCAATTAAATTCTACAGGGAGTAACATTTCAATCAATTCACTTGTGACGCTCATAGTCACGAGGAAAGGCAATATAGCTGATCCATCCTGCGTAATAGTCATTAACAACTCTGTGAAGCATCAAACACAGTTATTATTGACAAAGGGGATGCAATAAATAAATACAACATAGAATCGGCTTGTAGATTGCAACAAAAGACAAACACATCTGGGAAAGAATTCACATGCTATCTCTTAGGAAGGTAGTTATTTTGATATCTGGCATACTTGTCTGAAATATAAATGAGACCCACTCATTTTAGTGCCCATGGGCATTAATCTGAAAAATATTCCAGAGTAATGCCTATGGCCATTTAGGAAAGAAAGTGTTTTTCTTTCGAAATAGTTGATACAGATTCCTAACAACCATAAAGTTTTATGGTGCAACATTTGACAAACTGTCGCATTACCCCCTCCAAAAACATATTAAACTATATCTAACACTACAGTCTACAAGTAATTGATTAACCAGTGCTAGGAAGACTAACCATAATCAAATAATGCAAGTGATTAGGATTAAATTCATTTGACATTGAACTTCAAATATAGCAATATTTACTAAAAACTTAAATTCTCTGGTTTGTATAAAGATGTTTAGATGCTTTAATCCATGACTACATGAGTACAACATGTAAAAACTTAACTGATTCAAACTACTAACCGGTACATTCGATATATGTTAAATGAATGAGAATATTTTGTTAGGGTTATCAGTATCTGGGCAATTATTAATTAACAAGGGCATTTACTTTAATTCAACGTTTTCAAATCATTACACAGTTCTGATAGGAACTGATATATTACAAGCATGCTGTAAATCGAAAGGTATTTCGTCGATATTTCAAATATTTGTAAAAAATTCAATCATAGCAAAGTATAATACGTAGCAAAGAACATACGATATTGTAAATTCTGAATACTGTTTTAAATTAGGTATTCATTCAAAATTGAAAATTAAAGTTATAAGCATCGTGAAAGGTGAAAGGAATATCAAATTAAAATAGCAAAATTCGAACATACAGAACTCAAAATTATACATTGAGTAGATATCACTAGTGATATTATAAACAGTAAAGAAAGCCAAGAAGCTAGACAGCACCAGCACCTCAAGCATTAAGTGAACCGAAAAGCCTTATAGAGGATCTGATACAATGGCTGGTACACTGGGACCTCTCACGCAGGAGCTAACCACACTGGCGAATGGCACACAGAAGAATAAAACAGACAGTAGTGGTGAGATGACACCCTTGCAACAAGCAAACAGCATCATTCTCGCTGTTCTGCTGATCATTATTATGATTTCTATGGGATGCACGACAACGGTGTCAGACCTAAAACGCCACTTGAAACGACCCTGGGGGCCAGTTATAGGCATCATTCTCCAATTTGGATTCATACCATTGACAGCATATGCACTGGCAAATGCCTTACAGCTTTCCGGTCCCCTGGCCATTGGACTGATTATGATCTCTACGTGTCCGGGTGGTACAGTGTCCAATATATACTCCTTTTGGGCTCTTGGAGATGTGGCACTCAGGTATGTATTTATATCAAGCTTCACACTTTAATAATTTGTTCTAGGAATTGTTCTTCATGTAAAACCTGTATAAGTGGAATGCCTGCTTCTATTACTAATAAAAATAAATGTTTTCCACTTGGGAGGTGTTCTACTTACAGTAGTGTTCTACTTGACATTTTTACTGACAATAACATATATAGAACACCTCTTACTCTTTTTTAATTTTGTCATGGCTGATTGGATTAATCTATTTGATTCTGATATATGCACAAATTATACTTAATTGATTTTTCAATTTAACACTCACGTATCCACAATGTTTAATCATATGTTTGAGGGGGTAACACAGGGTGGGGGAGAACCTGTGAAAACAACCCTGATACATCCTTTACACATTGACCATGTTGTGTATGAATTATATTCTAGTATTACAATGACTACTTGCTCAACCCTGATACATCCTTTACACATTGACCATGTTGTGTATGAATTATATTCCAGTATTACAATGACTACTTGCTCAACCCTGATACATCCTTTACACATTGACCATGTAGTGTATGAATTATATTCCAGTATTACAATGACTACATGCTCAACTGTAATAGCCATGGGAATGATGCCACTTAATTTATGGATATACAGTCGCACATGGACCGATCGGCAAGCTCAGATACCATATTTGGACGTGGTTGTCTCGTTACTTCTCATCCTGGTACCTGTTGGAATTGGCATGATCATCAAATGGAAGAATGATAAAGTGGCATTCATTATAACAAAGGTAAGAAAGTAACACTGTCATCACATGCGACACTGCTCAATGTTTGGCATCATTTTTCAATTTCTCTATACATGGGCTCCCAGGATATACTGGTGTCATTTTTGTTGCTTAAGGAATAGCAGTGACCTGACTCTTAAAGTCACTGCTATCTTTAACCAATTGCCTCTAGTTTATGTGTGCTAAATTTAATAACAAATAGAATAAGGTAGAGTGTTCAAATCATGAGTCACAGTTATTAACAAAAACTTGTGTGGAGTGCTATAGAATAAATTTTATCGAAAATATAAATGTTGCATTTACAAATATATTTCCTTCTCTTGTTGATTTTGTTTATTTCTACAAGATAATGGTAAGTGATCTGCAAATAGGGTAGATTAATTCACAAAATGGAACGTGGCTCGTAATACACCAATTAAAAGTCTTTTAACAACAGGATATTAGAAATGCATTAAAACATACATTCCTTATTCTTTAAATCAGTTTGTTTCCATGGCAACCATTCTGATTTAATATAATTGAGCTTTGAACACAGATGGAGGTAGAGTCTAACAGCATTACTGACCTAACTGAAAATACTGTTAATTTCAGGTCGGTAGCTATGCAGGCATGATCGTTATAGTTGCTGTAGCAATTCTATTAGGAATTGCTTCCCCAGGTCTTTTCACATCATCCTGGACAGTCTGGTTTGCTGGAATCCTTATGCCGATCATTGGGACATCATACGGTTTCATAGCAAGCTCAATATGCTGTAGACCATGGCCACAACGCCGTACAATCGCAACCGAAAGTGGACTACAGAATATGGCTCTGTGCTTAGCTATCGTGCAGAATACGTTCCCGCCAAATCAATCAAATGAGGTCAGTCTTATACCGCTACTAGTTGGTGCATTTATGAACATTGAAGGTCTCGCATGGATTATTGTTTACCGTATAGTACTACGGGTAAAGAATAAAGGAAAAGTACCAGATGCAGACAATGAATACAACTTTGACCACAAAGACATTAAATCAGAAGCGATTATAATAGACAGTAATAAACAACCAAACGGACTACAAAATGGCCATGTTAATCATGGTATACAACTTGACACAGAAAAAAAGATTCCAACTTAGCAGCTTAACTTAATATCAATTAGCACTTAAACTTGTAAGGTAATGACTCTGCGTTCAATATGTCTTAAATAAATGCAAAAATAATATGAATTTTGCCTAATTATTCAATCATCGGGCGATATTGAACAAATATTTCACTCTATTTTCGGTGAATACCTGTACATCTTTCACAAGTGATATTCCACGAAGCCCGAAGGGCAAGTGGAATATCACCTTGTGAAAGTGCTACAGGTATTCACCGAAAATAGAGTGAAATATTTGTTTTATTATATCACTGTCTAGCTAAACATCCCTAATATTATTAAGTCATTAAGTCTTCAGATATTTTTACGAATCTACTCGGTTCGTCTGCCATTTTGACTTAAACTGAACTAAATTATTTACACTGAACGAAAACAAATTCTTTCAAAATTCCCGGGAGCGTGGGATATCGCTAGATATCTCACGGTTGTCTTATCTGATTAGCATTGCCATTGAATATCGCCAGATATCCCACGACATGTGACCCGGTTTTGACCAATCATACTGTCGCTAGCTAGATAGTGATATAATAATAATTGATATCATAAAACATGCCAATGATAGAACACAAAACTCGTAGAGTTCATATGACCATATATTATCAGGGCATGCCATCGGTAAACAGTACCCAAGTGGCAATAACTTAATTTTATCAAATTCTTGTCAGATATAGCTGAGAGTTTGATAAAATAATTTTTCATTAGACAAGATACCTGAGCACAGTTGCCATAAATTATAAGACACAATCGTAAAACACACAGTGATACACAACTTTGTTTTTAACTAAGAACAAAGAATTATATAAAATGAGATGCAGTAGATCAGAATGTTAGGACACTTACTGCTACCCTGCATAATGTGCATATCACAGATGTACTCGCATTTAAAGGTGCAGCAATAAGTGCAGGGGGGCCATTCAACGATCATCTTAACCTCCCTAATATCTACAATGAAACCCCCTGGATGAACATTATTTCAGCTGATATTTCTCTTGAAACGTGGTGGATCTTAAAAATCTATAAGTTGGACTCCCTTTAAAGAAGCTTTGAACTGAATTTACACTTCTTAATGCTGAAATTGATAGTTTATACATACATTTAAAGAAAATAGGTATGTCAAAGAAGGTGTTAAGCCAAATATTGACCTGATAGCTCAGAAAAAATAAAAAATTTCGAATTTTCTCGCAACAGTCCTTGTTGCCCCTTTAAGAATTTCCCATAACATGTGACCTTCACCTTGGTTGGTGACCTTTGCACTATTTTCCTCCATCCGCGACTACTATCGTGCCATTTTTGGACTTGTCATCATAACTACATTACAGTTGAGACATACACAAACAAATATAGTAACTAATGGTGCGACAAATATTTTGTGGTCGTTTAAAGATAACAAACTAGAAATTGAAGGTCACCGTTAAATCATAATAAATAAAAAGTCATGAGACATGTCTATAGCATCGATAAGTACTTTAGATAGTCTATTTTAAACAAGTAATTAATTAAAGATAATGAGTTTTATAAGATATGATTATACTGTGAATGTGATGCCTATATAGTTCACCTTACATTAGATTCTATAATGACTATAAACGGTAACATAAATTACAATTGAATAGGTATAATTCTCTTATCAGAGGCGTGAGGTTTAAAATATTCTAAAAATAAATCAGGTCGTGTTAACTACTCCAGTGGTTCTGTGAGATAAAAAAATGATGAGCAAAGTGGCTCACACACGCACACATATTGATTGGTTGACAGAGACACATCCATTAGGCTTGCCTATAATATCTGAACAAGTGAGTGCAGCTGATTTAAAGTAGAAAATATGGTTTAACCTGTCAAGTTTAAAGTTTTATATAACAAGTGATTGTAAGTATCCAGGATGTATTGCCTTGATCGCTGTCTCCATAGTAATGTTTGTCACTTTTTTTTTATCAATTTGCAAATACAATGTGAGTAGTCTCATTTATGGACATAATTTGTGTCTTAAGATGGTCATTATATACATGGGAATTTTGTTTTAAACATTCCATTTTATAATGTAAAATTCTAAGTAAATGTTAAGGATATTTTCAAAGTTATGAAAATCTATTATAAGTATACCAAAAATATTTTAATATTAACATTACAATCTGCAGATAATTTACAATAGTATGTTATTCTTGAATGCCATATTGTTTAGAGTCACCTATACTTAGGGTTGTCTGCCCTGAGAAATCTTAAATAAATAACATTCTAAAAAAGTCCTTACGAATGTCATTTACAAGGAGTTTATCTTTATAATGTCATCTTCGTTGATACGAAAAGCTTATTTTGAATATTATCTTCTGTCGGCAATATATATTGGAGCCCATTTTTTAATAGTCTGAGAAGATACAATCCCAAATACTAGTTGCCATAGCAGTCCATTTTTAATAGTCTGAGAAGATACAATCCCAAATACTAGTTGCCATAGCAGTCCATTTTTAATAGTCTGAGAAGATACAATCCCAAATACTAGTTGCCATAGCAGTCCATTTTTAATAGTCTGAGAAGATACAATCCCAAATACTAGTTGCCATAGCAGTCCATTTTTTAATAGTCTGAGAAGATACAATCCCAAATACCAGTTGCCATAGCAACCACATCTTAACATAGATTAGATATAAATTAAAAGTTAGATATCTTTGCACTGCAGGTATAAATGAATAACCCAAATATCCTGAGAATATGAGGGAAAAAACGAAAACTCCAAAATTAGAGCTGTTTATTAAATTATATGGATCGCCCCATAAAATGTATATGTAAGGTAAAAACTTGCACTCTTAAAGTTTAGAATACCACAATCTGTGTCTGATATTAATCTTACCATACCAAGCATCGATTTCTCTCCATGAACTTGACTAAACATGTGCTTGACGCACAGCCACTATTGCTTTGTTGTTTTCTTAGTACAATGAATTAATAACTTTTAAAAATTCTCCATGAAGGGAAAGTGTCCAGAAGGCAACAGTCGTGAAAGAACAGTAATGTTGTAGGATGGAGTGTGGAAATGACAAAGAATGTTGATTTTTCAAGTAAAAGGTGAATCAACATTTTCAAATATAAAGGTCAGGTGTGTGTGTGTCTGGGGGGGGGGGGGGGGTGATAAGCAATGATGAAATGAACTTTGCATTTCCTTAACTGTCAAATTTGGACACCATCCCTAAGTTAAGAAACATTACATGTCAAGTAAATGAAGCCAATTTATCTGTCATAACAAGTGAGATAAAATGACATATTTTTCTTGGTATCTTGGCTCTCTTCTAAATAGATATAATCAGGTTATAATGTGCTGGCTGTCATGGAGTATTGTAATGTGTGTGAACAGTGTACAGTGACACTTGTAGAAGTAGAACACATTTGTTAGTGGAACACTTTTCAGAGTCCCTTGACAAACTGACTTAATGTTTAATGAACCTTTATAAGTGGAACACCTCCTAAGTGGAACACTTTTAGTGGTTTTTGCAGTTGGAGTCACTTTGATGAATTAATGATGTGATATACGTTATTTAATGATTCTAGTAAAATAAATAATATGTGCCTGAGAAAAAACATCTTTTGAGGGTACAAGTCAATATTTTCTATATTTTCAAGAGATATTATTGAATTGTGTTTATTCAAAAAATTTAGGCATATTTGGAGTTTTGAATGTATGTATGTAACCCCATTGTCCCCTTTCTGGGGAACTATGTACGTTTCTCAAATTATTGCAATAAAAAAATAAATAAAAAAAATATATATGGAGTTTTGAATGGTTTTCAACAGAAAATGATAACTTCAATGTTTTAAAGTGTGTGATAGAGATGACATCAGGGTGGAATATAATTTTCTAGCAGAGTTCTAAAAATAAAAATACAAGGTTCATATTTTATGACAAATGGCCATTTGGCATAACATTAATACATTTGAACATCCATCAGTACAGTAAAAGTACATTTAACTTCCTCAAGTGCAGCAAATGTACATTTGAACTTCCACAAATACAGTAAAAGTACATTTGAGCTTGAAATAAAAAAAATGTCTTACCTGTATGCACTGTTTGATCCAGTAGTGCCCCAACATAGCTTCCCAGTTCTGTGAGCAAGTGATATAGAGCGTACGGTCATAGAGGCGACGTCTGATACTGTTCTCAAATACCTACAAATAAGGGGGGAAAATTGAAATTCTTAATTTTGAGGAAAACACTGAATCATAGAGAATATTTTACAACTTTGGTATGATCGCAACTTATGATTTCAAGAAAACCACTGTCCATTTTATGATGAACAATGACTTGCGACAAAATCGTGAGTTACGAGTAATCATAAACTTTAGGGGTTCATGACAAACATATCTAACACAAATTAATGATCTCACCTCAAAGAATTTATGTCTGATGGAGGGCTGCGATGATCGAAGACCCGCAAGAAACGCAGGTTCTAATTTTGACGTCAACTCAGACCCAGCAAGAGTTTCGTCCCTTAAAAATAATACAAGTATGTAGCAGACTGATTTAAAAGTAATATCAGAGAAAAACTGTGGAAAAGGTTAGTAAAGAGAACACTTAGAGTCTTGTATTCATGGGTCATTGCTACGATGAAATAAATAGAAAAAAAGTATTTCTGTTTCATAAGGTGATTTGATTTAGCTCAGAATAATAATTTATGCAAGAGTTAAAATGATGTAGACTAATGTAAAAATAGTAAAAAAATGTTTTTAATCATCCAGATTATGTTTAACATGTCTTTAAATAGACTAAGTGAAGCTACAAGGCCTTTAAAATAATAACAATAAAAATGATCTAATGAAAACAGGGTGATTATGTTAGACAGCTTCATCGTGTCAGCTATTCACACATTTTCCTACGTAAACAGGAAACAATGTAATTAACTCACATCACTAAAATACTCGGAATGAAGATTAATATTACGTCAATAAAGGTACATTAACATAACCACTGTGATGAGTTGAGCAGCTAAACATCCCATTGGAAAGTGTTTCTGTTTGAACTTACTTTTCGTTTCTCATGGGTCAGATATTTGACGATAACAATGAATTTGTTAAAATCACCAAAAACAAAAAGGCTCAAACACATGGTCCAAAGACATATTTGGTTGCCAAACTTATGGAGTTGAGTGTAGCATACCTATAGATATAGTTGACAAGTTCAAGGAAATGTGCATGGAGGTCAGTGTCATCGGGGAACCGTTTCTCAACATGTTTCATTAGCTTATCCAATAGGATCGCCTTTTCTCTTGGTGATGGTGACTGACTGATGGCAAGAGGTGTCTAAAATGAAGAACATTAATACCGATATTGTTGGCGATTTTCCTTGATGCAATGTTTCAATAATGACAAAATTAATATCATTGGAGAATATACATGTATTCCAATGATATAGTGAATGAAAAATAATTAGAGACATGATATATCTGTTAGAAACACAATGCATATATGTCTAAGAAACCTGATATATATGTTAAAAACTGGAAGTATCCACATTAAACGATTCCAAAAAAAATTACCTTTATTTTCACCCAATCTTCCACCATACGGGTGATAGCCTTCATGACCTTGGCATCAGGAGTCTTGTCTATAAGGCCAACGAGGATGGTCCCGATGAATCCTTTTCGCATGTCCATTGTCATCCTCCCCACTCTGTTCTTCACTAAGTCAAGGCTCAGAATCAGTAGCTCACTTGCGACTGTATTATAAAAAATCACATCATTATTTCATTTTTTCACTTGGTTCATTGGTTCCTTTGGTCTATACTTGTATCTTCCATATTTGATCAGTTTAAAGTCTTTGGAAAGTCGACACTATTTTCTTTAGGCTCACAATAAATCATTACATGGATTGGTAAACTATAAACATTTATTTCATGAATGCAACATATTTCTTCCTTCCCAAATACTTATTTTTGAGAATTGTAATCTATTTATTCCTTGTACATAAACATGCCCACCAACTAATTATAGAATAAACATTGTATTTAATGCAAGGATTAAAAGGCAACACATTTTGAAAACTGTTCCATTGCATCTTCTGAATGCAAGATGAAGAGAGTGGATGTCTAAAGCCCTGCATTTGGGGGATGATTACATTATAACTTGGAGAATGTATCTATCCTCCCAATTAACATACCTGGGCTAGTCTCAGCTGATGAGGGGGTGAGATGCTCTCTGGCCATTCTCTGCAAGACCCTCATAAAAGTCCCTATGAGCCTATCTATGTAGCTAAGGTTGTGCATACACGCTGCCTTCAAGATCATCAATGTACCAAATAGCTGGGATGGGGAGCCATTATTGGATCTGAATAACACATTTCATAAAAAATCAATTTTCGCCCAAATCAATCCTCATCACATTTTTTTCAAACATTAAAAAGTTCATTATCTTATTCAAGGCAACAAGTTGACTTTAACATGTATGCGTTCATCTTTCTTTAAATGTGAATAGCCATATCTGATATGTTTTAATTTTAAAAGTCTGTATGAATGTCTGTAATATATAACATCCAAATAATTACTACTTTCTAGAATCACTTACTTTTCATAGTTAGCAAGTCCTTCATAAACCACTTTACTGACGCATGCATAAAGACATTCAAGCTCTTCATATTTGGAGGCTACATTGCTAGTGGCGGCCTCTGTTGGGAAAATGCTCATCAATCGGGACAGGAGGCTATGTACAGCTCGTATCACCTTAGAGTTTGGGCACGTCATGCAGGCAGCTATACCTCGCTGTAGAGGCTTGAAACTTGGCAGGATCACGTCAGTCTTCTGATAAACACATGGGAAAGAAGGAGCGTTTTAAATCATTGTGATTTCATGAGAATATTAAATCTAACCTCTTTTATAAATCAGATGGTTTATTTTATGAATTTCCAAACATTCAATGTCACGCTTATTTGTTAAAAAGTTTTGATAATTGTTGATGACAAAAATGTTGATTTCTGAAGAAACTATTTTTATGATTTCAAAACAATATCATATTGGTTGCTTCAGAACAAAAACTTCTAGTAAGTCAAATGCACAGCTCTAAAAATGTCTCAATTCTGTATGGGGTCCATTACCCAATTTGACATATTTTCTGGATCTATTGCACTATACTGTTTTTCTCGACCAGTTACACTCCCAAGGAATTATGTAAATCTTAAACTCACCAAGATATCAAGCAAAAACCGCAGCAGTTCCAGAGCAGTACAGATATTCGCAAAGTTTGGCTGGTGAGTCTCTACAGACATAAGTAGTTTATCAAACCATCCAAGTTTCAATTCAGCATTGGGCCACACGTCTGACTTAAGGGCTGTCTTCAACAGAGTGACACATCTACGGGAGAGAATCTCGCCTGGTGACCCAATGGTGGTTGATGCTTCATTCACCTAGTTAAAGACAAGTTTGTTTATTTTTTATTTGTTTGTTTATTTACTTACAGACAATATATGTTATTTAATTGTTATTTATATGTGGGATGATTCATATGATGATTCTACAGGGTGGGTCAAAAAATGACCACAGACTGACGTGCATAATTTCAGTATTTATATTAATGAAAATGTGGAAACAATGAACATAATGATCATAAATATAACCCTCAGGGTTGATCATGAAAGCCTAATATAATTGATGAAGTGTGAAGTTCGGATATAGAATCTAACCTGACATGCGATTCTTAGAAGAAAGTTGACAACTGCGTCACAATACTGTTTGTCTATGGGTTTGGTGACATCGGTCCCGCCTCCACTACTTTTGGCACTCTGTAAACATAAATTAATAAAACACTTATTATCAGAAACTTATTTAAAACAATCCATTCTGATTGGTCAAAAGAATGAACAATAGTTTTGATTATCTGCATGTAAATATATCTATGTTTGTATTACATGTACTTTATTTCATTTTACTCTCAATACAAAAACAGTTAAAATATGAGACACAATTTCCTTAAATAAGAAACAAGTTTGAATGTGGCACCCACTTGCCTCCCTAAATGCCTGTTGATAAGCCCAAGACAATGACACTTTGGAAATTCTTCAAAATGCGATAAAAATATGTCAAAGAACATGATTAGTCATTACTTACAGCCTCTGATGAATGTCTTATACGTTTAGCCTCCTGTGGTGAATCTACAGATGCAGTTCTCTTTATGGAGGCGCTGGCGCCACTGGTCTCTAATACAGCAGGCTGCAAATCAAAATGTCACAATTCAGTGATTATAGTTTTCAAACATCAAATGGATCACGAAAGAATTCAATGTGAAAATATGATTTACAGGTAAATGACAAAATTCCACTGTATCTATTTTACTCTGACAAAAACAGGCAGTTTTACTTTTGACACATAATCAACAAGCTATAGTAAAATAAAATTCAATGTGGCATATAGTACACATAACTACATAATGGACACCATGAAGAATTCTACTTACATCTGAAGATCCCTCTGCCTCTTCCTTGACTCTTTGCACCTCCCACTTGATGATTACCTCTGCCTGGTCTACAGCCAGTTTGCGGTGTTCCATTGTAGCACTGGGGGTGAATCCCAGCCTCTGTATAGAGCCAACCATGTGCTGTATGAGGTGGTGCCTTACTGGGTAGTAGACCTTGTAGTGACGCACTAACAGTTGTCTATAACAGAACATGTTCTGATATATATATATATCTTTTATTGACTCCCTGACGTCATAGTAATTGGAAAGTACTATGTTTGCTTCAATGTTCTCCAAAAGATTAGATGCCAAATTCTAATGTTACTGATTCTAACAAAAACTGTCAAACTATCTCATTTTTATGACATACCATAATTTCCAAACTCCAAAGAGAACAAATGGATTTTTATTTGGGATAAAGTAGGTTTCAAATCTTCAAGTGGGTACATTGTCCGATGACTTATATATACTGGGGAGACCACTGATAAATTATGATCCAATAACAGTAAAACATTTCTTATCGGAACACCAATGGCAATGGACAGTCCCATTCACATTGAGAGTTGTTTGGATATACAGGCATGTACAGGTTTGTGAATGTGTCAAGCATGGACTCTCCATGCAACATATTGTATTGTTATTGTTATTGTATACTTACAGTATATGTAGGAGCTGGGCTACAGTATGACCTTCCTCCACTATGATCTTCTTTGTCCAATGTGTGAGCATCTGAAAAACATTTCATTTATTAGTTGTGTTCATATTTTTTAACTGACTGATCTTGAACTGATATATTCAACAAAATAATTGGTATCATACTTATTTGGAGTAAATTTCATAATGCTTACTCATCAATTTTACAGCCCAATCATAACTACAGATAATATATGTACAATATAATACTATACAAGGGACACCCTGTAAATGCTCACAACACTCAACATTAACACTGAAGGTCTTAGTACATGTGCACTTGAATTACTAACTTGATTGAAGGTCTTAGTGCATGTGTACTTACATTTCCATCCTCCATACGTCCTGGCATTGCTGGGGTAAGAATATCTAAAGCTTGTTTTACAACACTTCGGGCCTCAAGAGCATGGGCTTTCAGTAAGCTGTGGAACACCTATGACAAAAGATAGTAGTTAAATTAGGCTAAAGAACAGAGAAATACAAATGTACCATATATTTGCAATAGTCAAATAGACATTGACTTTGCAATCACGATGAGTGATGATACTTGGTATTATTTGAATTTTACCCTTTGCATTCGTTTGACATTTATTAAACTTTTAAATATGACTTTTTCTTATTATGCAACTTCATTTATTGTACTTGTCACTTATTGACAAGGTAAATTCTTACTTGCAAAACAATCCTTTTGTGAATGGCAAACTTTGCAATGATGTGTGACAACAGAAGATGGCCGTGGTATTTAGTAGCTGGATCTACACAGTTTTTAGGAAGCAAACATGGCCATGCAAAAGTCATTAAACGCCTTAGTTTGTTCCCATGTTTCCTGAAAAATGTACCATTAGGCCACATGTACGAGATGTACACTATTTTAAAATAATAAACTAAAAATACTGCAGAACAAAAATGGCAAATGCTTACATGTGTAGATATTACCATTAACCCAGGGATAAAGATGATATTACTCAAAATCAATTGATATCTTAAACATACCATAGAGCATTCTAGATTTATTATGTCACCTTGCTTGTTTATGGAAAACAATACATATCCAGTCAGTATATCACTTTCATATAAAGAGGGTACCCCTAATCTCCAAATAAGAGATATTTCACAATGAGAATAGTATGTGCTTTTAGTTCGCATTCACATCTTGAAACATACCATAATTTCCAACCCATGAAAGCACTGTTACTCACTTATTTGCTGCATCATGTATGTGTGGTGAAGCCTGACTGACCAAAAGTGATGAAAATTGCAACAGTAGTATCCTGACAGCATCAGAAGTCCCAAATGGATTATCAGGGTCAATGATTTTATTGATAAAGACACTTATGATGTTTTCTGAATTGTCCTGGTCTGGTACTGGGGGTCCACCTATCAATTTCTCTCCCTCATTCTTTTCAAAGGAGACAGTAAAGCATGGAATAAGGATGTACTGTAGCACCTGAAATTATGAAATAAATATTTTCTATTTATTCAAAATTCGAATTTATTCGTTTTAAATCCTTTCATGACAAAGTTCTCACATAAGGCACCTATTAAGGCATATTTTCAATACTTTATTATGATGAAATTTTGAATAATGAAACATTTTGCATAACCTTAAGCTGAAAAGCGTTCTATTTTGCCAAATTTTCTGGGTGATTCTAATCAATCAATTATTGAAACTTTAAACAATCTGAATAAAAATGTACATATTTTAACTGACATTCAAATACTGAGTGTACAGTATATATCCATATCCGCATAAAGTGTTTATCTTGCCTTTAATTCTGAAAAATCTCTATATCTACCTTAGCCTTTAGATCCTGAGGCCACTTTGGTTCATGGAAAATGTCTACAAACTTGAAGAAAGCTTTCCTCTTCCAGTCCACAGTGTATGTCTGTAAATTGAATTAGATATTGACAATTATAATACCAGAACAACGGCAACGCCAAAGCGTAGCGAATCCCATCGAACAGAAATGGCTGGCATTTTTACAAACGAAATATATAGCAAACATCATAAAACAACACACCAGAAAGGCCACCATTTTCAAAATGGTTGCTCACTAGCCAAGTTGTCATCAGAAGAAATAATATGCTTTTAAGTAGCCACCTATAAAATCTTTGAAAAATCGCATACATGTACTTGTAAAATAACACACATAAAAATGGTGGCCATTTTTCAAAATGACTGACTACTCCCCAAAGTTTTATTAGACAATGTACCATGCTTAAAGTATTCACATATCAAATATGAACAAAATAGCTCCACTACTTTTCGAGTTATAGTAAAAAATGTAAAAATGACAGCCATTTTTATAAAATGGCTGCCTACTATCTGAAGTGTCATGAGACAGTGTGCAAGGCTCATGAGTATTCACATATCAAATATGACCAAATCGCTTCACTACTTTTCAAGTTATAGTAAAAAACATAAAAATGGTGACCATTTTTCAAAATGGCCACCTACTACCCAAAGTGTCATTAGACAGTGTGCCATGCTTATAGTATTCACATATGAAATATGAAACATACCAAATATGAACAAAATCACTTCACTACTTTTCGAGTTATAGTAAAATACGTTAAAATGGCGGCCATTTTTCAAATTTTTATTCAAAATGGCCGCATTCTATCAAAAGTGTCATAGGACGGTGTGCCATGCTTATAGTATTCACATACCAAATATGAACAAAATCGCTCCACTACTTTTCGAGTTATAGTAATATACGTTAAAATGGCGGCCATTTTGAAAAATGGCCGCCTTCTACCAAAAGTGTCTTTAGGCAGTATGCAATGCTTATAGTATTCACATACCAAATATGAACAAAATCGCTCCACTACTTTTCGAGTTATAGCAAAAATCGTAAAATAATGAATAAAGGCCGCCATTTTTCAAGATGGCTGCCATGTGCTTCTTTAATGTCTACATTTATAGCTTTATTAATGTCCTTCATAATTTTTTTACATTTAAAACATATTGCTATTACAGTTTTACATATTGCACCTAAATTACTGTAAAATCGGCACTAAAATGGCCGCCATTTTGAATTGAGCGGCCATTTTGAAAATCGGCTTTCGAGCAGAACTTCTACCCCCATAGGGTATATGTGTACAAAATATGAACAAAATCGGGCCAACGGTATTTGAGTTATCGCCCGGACGGACGGACAGACGGACGGACGGACGGACGGACGGAGGCGTTCCCTATATCCCTCCGAACTTCGTTCGATGGGATAATAATTGCAATTAGTAAGTGGAGGTCTATTTATGTAACTGCTATTTCCAAATACATATATGATATTTCATTATTGCACAATAATTTTATTTCTGAATATTCACCTGGGCTATGACATCCTCAAGGAAGTCACTGACGAAGTGGAATTGTGGGATATATCTGAAGGAGAAGCAGCGGAGAATCTGGAACATCAGCTCTATTTCATTGGTGTGCAGCCTGCAATGGAGGGAAGTCACATTAAATCAATGATGTACGAAAAATACAAGGAAAAATTCCATTTGTACCATAAAATATTCTTTTAATCTGAATTTTTGGCTGACTTTTGCTATTTTTTAAAGTTTATATTATTTTTATCTATACATTTGTAAACATTTCTAATAAAAATCTTACTTGAAGTAACTGAGGAGACATTCCACCAATAAGCGTGGTTCTTTCCAATGCTCAAAGTCTACCGCATCAATCTTCTTGTGTCGTGAGTGGAATGCTTCAGAAATCCAGATCTTTAATAGGTTGGCCACCTGGAATTTGAATATAGTAGAAAATAGTGAATAACATGTTCAACCCATGCATGTACTTTTCATGAACTCTGAATTTCCAAGTATTCTTGAATCTCACAATGAATGAACAAATTACAGTAATCTAAAAAGGAAAAATGATTTTAGAAAAATATATATTAGATATTACATGAGAGAGCAGATAGAGAAAAAGATCCATAATTAAATTCTGTCGGGTGTTTAATAGTATAATTTCAATGTCATGAATTAGGTTTGATTCCAATAATACTGAAATATCCTCACCAGTTTGGAATTCTTGGACAGCCAATCCACGTCAAATGAAGCAAGGATGTTTACGTAACATATCGCCTGATACTGCAGATCGATCTTGTTGGTTGCTGGGTTCAAAGGTTGTGTGGCTGGGTCACTGGGGGGTGTCAGCTGACCAAATGCCATGGTGATCAGTCTCTGGGGGTTGGCCTGGAGACTATCTCGGAATATCTTTCCATCTTCCTTCTTCAACAGAGTCTGTAATAAAATTTGAATTTTAATCATAATTGGATATGAGGCATGCAAATGCTCATATATTAACAATTATTTCATTCTCAAATTGTTTATTTTTCATATTTTTTCATATTTTTCGTGTACCACTTGAACACTTGCCTATTTCGAGGTCCTTTAGTTTACAAATATGCACCAAATGTACAATTAACATGAAATTTGTAGAACATATCATCTTACCTGGAAACACCTGTTATACTCTGGTACTGTTATGTTAGCCTCAGATAGAAACAACTCAACAGTCTCTGAGGGATAACGTAAAAGGAACTTCATCAGTGGTTCTTGAAAAGGACTTCCAGCCTGCAAAGAAGAAAAACTCCAGAAATCAGTTGCAATTTTTCCAAGAACTTTGCCATAAGATATAACAGATATCCAAAACCTTCAAATGAACTTTGAACATCAATAAGTAGTGTCATCTCTCCCTTGATATAGAGAGGGGTGAGATATCATACCTTCCCTCAAGAAAAAAGCCATATCCAAAGCCCCCCAAAAATAAGCAAGAACCTTTACTATGATACAAAACATACATGCCTAAGAAATAGCATACCAAAACATGGGAAATATAAAAGAGGGTGTATTCATATGTAACATACAGTTTCTCAATGCTGTAGGAGACTTTTTTTAGCATGTGATGCATTCAAAGGTAGAGCTTAAAACACCCTGTATTTACCTCAATGAGAAGTGCCTTCTCTCCCTTGAGTGACAGAGTTGTGAGGGGTTCAAGCATCTTCTGTGAGGCTGCAGGGATCAAGTGAAAGATGTTGATGATTGCAGCACAAGTTTTCATCTCCTGTAAAGTAAGATAAATTACAGGGTGTGTCAAAATAGTATATTTAATTCTATGTGCAATAACTACAAGTTACACTGTCTATGCATTAGGACAATAAAGCTTATTTTCAAATGAATAATTTATACAAGTACATAAAAGTTGCCTCAAAGTAATACAACAAAGATTAACTTTTAATAAACTTCTTCATTTAGTTTGTGCTTTATTACATGCTATTTGTTGTTTTATTCAATAATACACATTCGGTTGGTCTTCTCACTTCAGTTCCAACACAGATCTACATCATATAGCTTTACAATTAATCATGAAGAGAATTTGAACTCACGTTTGAGATGACTTGGCCATTATTTCTTGCTTGTCCCCCCTTCTGTGCTATCACTGCCACATCCATCCATTTCTTCAGGTGGGCCTGAAAACATTTAAACATCAAAACTTTATTTTCAATTGCACAAAGGTTGTAACTACTGCATATGTCATGTAGAGTCGTCATTTTTCTGTGCATGTCTGTGCCAATGGAAATGGACAAATATAAAAGAAAATAAAGCAAAATGAATCAAATATATTGGTCAGTCCTTGTAAAACAACACTGGTAGAATAAACAAGAGAAAAACCTACCAGCAATTGTTCGCATAGTTTCTCATTGAAAGTATTTGGGAAAAGTTGCGTCAGATATGTCAGCCTCTGTATCACATTCAGATTGAGGCTGCGATAATCCCCGAGCTGCAACAACAGTGGTCTCATTGCAAGGTGCACCTGCTCCATGTCGATCTGGATACCAGCAATGAACTTCTTCATACATTCAAAGGCAGCCTCCTGGAGGTCACTGTTGGTTGAGTTGAGTGTTTTGTAGAGAACACTGAATATCTTCTCTCTGTATTGTGAGTTGTAGTGGCAAGCAGCTAGGGCTTCTGAAATTATAGTAATTGTGTTTTTCAAACTTTCAAAGCCACGGAAATTCTTATTATAGGTTAAACAAATGAAAAAACAGAGAATGGAAAAATTATTGAAAATCATAAAGGTAGCATGGAAATAGCTGCAAAATACCAGGCAATTTTCGAAAAAAATGAAAAATTGCCTTGTTACTTACTGCTTAATTATGAAACCCCTGATATAGAAAGAATCAAACTGTATTCCTTACTCATTGCACTCGTCCTGAGTGGCACCAGATTAGTGACTGATTTATAGCATGGCAGCTTTAACAGTATTTGGTCCTCAGCCTCACAAAGGTTCAACAGCTCAGTGAAGAAGACCTTATGCTTAACAATGTTCAGATCTATAGTAAACAACCTTGGCTCTAACGTGGTACAGAATGTGTTCCCATCCTACAAGAAAACGGCAGTCTTTTATATAGTCATTCAATTCACATCATATTCAAATATTCTAAATATATTACGAGTTCAATTGTGTAGCTTGTTTTAAATACATGTACTGTAAAAGAGATGTTACTGTATCTATTGTACATTCCGTTCAAATCGGAGGAATAGATGTTTCCAAAACAAATAGTTTATAAGAAATGGTACTGATACTGTTTCAACATTTTGAAATTCAGGTTTTAAAGAGGAATGCAGGGAAAAGGTGTAATATATTTAATTTCTGTTAAGGTATCTCTATAGTGAAGGCTTTGTTTACCATGAGTCCTATCTGGGCATTAGCAGGCTGGTGCCTCAGCAGATGTTTCTTAGGTGGGATCATATCTTGGAGTACATCCTTATGTGGCTCCATTATATCAGTGATTGTCTTATCCATTGTCTTAGACAGAACCTTCAAGGCATACATGGACTGTTCTCTCACCAGCGTGTTTGGTGACGTCACCTGGCGCACCAGCTCATGTGTTACATCAAACACAGATTTGCTCTGTGTGGAGAGTAGTTCTTCTGTGCTTTCCTCTGCTGGGATTGGCTTGGCACACATTGTCAACATCTGTTCTAAGTTAGACTTGGCCATATCTAAGGCTCCACTTGACACCTATGTAAAGCAAATTACAGTATTGAGTGTGGATAGATTTGTTATTCAGTCTAAAAAACATTGTTAATACTAATAAGGAAATCCATGTTAATACTTATATATATCTTGCTGTAATATTCATTAAATGCCTCATTGTTAATATTTCAAAATCCCTCATTGTGAACATTCATACATAAACAATTGTTAACATCAATAATATCTCATTGTTAACACTAATACTTCATTGATAACAGTTAAACACTTCATTGTTAACAGTGAAATACTTCATTGTTCACAGTGAAATACTTCATTGTTCACAGTGAAATACTTCATTGTTCACAGTGAAATTCCTCATTGTACACAAAATACCTCATTGGTGAGATCCATCATGACGAAGAGAAAGGCCTTAAGGAAGAGGAACTGATGATCAAACACCCAACATCTGGACATACGCTCAAACATAAACTTGATAGCAATACATCTACAAAACATTACAACAATATAGTTAAGTCAGCCTATAAGAGAAAAGTTTATTGTCCCTTTCTCAAAAGGTTTATGAAGGGATATGATTTGCCGAAAAATTGCTCGCAAAGATTTATCTTCAGTCGATTGGTTATAGTACGTGTAAAGTAGTCCCAGCACCTTGACCAATCAGAAAGTTATTTTATTGACCACGGATTATTCAAAACTTATATTGGCTTGCTGTCTTGTTAACAGTTCACACCATACATTTTCATATATAGGTATGTTATAAAGATACATACTGGGCATTGATTTGCACAATGGCCCACTGTGCATTTATTTGCACAATGGCCCACTGGGCATTTATTTGCACAATGGCCCACTGTTCATTTATTTGCACAATGGCCCACTGCGCATTTATTTGCACAATGGCCCAAATGAGGCGAGGACAATGTAATGTAAACTTACCCTCCAAGCTTTGCATACCAAATGGAGGTGAGGACAATGTAATGTAAACTTACCCTCCAAATGGAGGTGAGGACAATGCAATGTAAACTTACCCTCCAAATGGAGGTGAGGACAATGCAATGTAAACTTACCCTCCAAATGGAGGTGAGGACAATGTAATGTAAACTTACCCTCCAAGCTTCGCATACCAAGCCCTATCATAGCACAGTGAACACATCTTCTCCACCAGGTAGTCAAAGATAGGCAGCTGACATGCCTGAATTACAAACAACTTATATGAATTAATATATGGTATGAAATATATTCTATTGGGCAATTATAGGATCCTGTTTCTCGATTCACAGGTTTAACATGGCAAATGGAACAAATAATAAAAATTGTATGAACCATCAAATATTTGCAAAGTCATTGAACAGGAGGGGTTACATTTTTCCTAATGTTACATAACATTGTATAAAAAAACTTGTCAATCAAAATTGTACAATGAGATAGTTGCGTTTTTGCCCAACTGTTTTTTTCATGATACAACTGAACCAAACAGCCTTATTTTTCATTATTTAAAATTCAGTTAACATCAACTCCACTTACCCTTTCCTTAGATCCTAGGATCGTTGTGGCAGTGTCCAGGATGAGAACCAAAGCTAGGTGTCCTGGCTTGCACAACTCCTTCTCCTCATGGCCCATAATGACAGAGAGGGCGTCAATGAGCACCTGGGGGTCCATCCCCTGTAGCTTAGTCTGCTTCTCCCCACTAATAGGAAATGGTCCACATTGTTGCGGTATCGTAACCATGGTATAATGACGCACAATGGATGCCATGAATGGAAGTACAGCTGGTCTTAAATCCTTTATAGCTGCTGCAACTGTAGTGAAAGAATTGTACATTAATTTATTAATGAGAAAACATCTCAAATAGTGTAACCTGTTTAAGTGGAACATCTCTGGTACCTCTAAATTGTGTTCCACTTAGGAGGTGCTCCACCTACAGAGGTTCATCCTCAATAAGTTATGTGAAGCAAACCTTTGAAAAGTGTTCCACATATGGAGGTGTTCCACTTACAGAGATGTTCCACTTCACATGTTTTGCTGTATAATAAACTCTACATATTTTCAGTGTTTATTACTGAATACACAATATCATTCAAGGTACATACCAAACATGCCAGTAAGGGCTTGCTCCTGGACTATGCGGGCATGGCCATCTGTAGTGCGATACAAGGGTATATGGGGTATCGGAACATCCTTTTCTGTGAAACTGAAGAAAAGGAAAGAATTTTTCAACTTTATAGGTCATATTTTGATATATGCACTGCTATGCTTTCTTATGGGCATCTAGCACTCAATATGTATAAGTAATACTACTTTATCATGAGGAAAAATATTGTATTCCTTTGTCTTAGTAATAGAGATGAAGTTATATGAGTTATGTATATGACCCTGTGTGCAAGAATAATCTAACAATTACATACACATGCATATAATACAATGATCTTTGTTTCCATACCTAGGATGGGTGAAGAGTTGTGTAAGAGCTTGTTTATCGTCCTCAAGGTTCATCATGGAGACAAGGTAACATCTGATCATATCCCAGGCCTGTTTGCGATAGAAGGCCTCCGTGCTGCTGGACTTGAGAGCTCCAAGAGCAACCTCAATGCTCTGGAGAACAAAAACAAAAACAAGTTATGGCAACATGTTTGTTAAGTGACATATTAAATACAACTTTTCATCACACATAGAAACATAGATAATCTCAACCCAGTACTTATTTCATTTCAATATTAATTTCAAACAAGGTATGCAAAATGTCACCACCTGCTATTTGTTACATATGCAAAACACCGACCACCATACACCATCCATAAAAAAGTTGGAGACAATAACAAGATGTTGCCACTTTTGGAAGTGACAAAAAATGATAATATCATCAAGTTTATCAGTCATTTAAAAAACTAACAGTATTTGTTACAGAATTGTACTGCTTTTTTACCTTTTCAACTGGTAAGGAAATTGGAGTTTTAACATCTTGGAAATAAACAGTGATACACGGTCCAACAGTCTCCCGCTCATTATACGTCAATGATTGAGGCTCCCTCAGCATCTTCCTGTTTCCGCCACCAAACTTTCCAAGCACACGGAATGCAACATGAGCAATCTGATCATGTGGGTTGCGTAGTGTACGCCACAATGCTTGCATCAGCTCGGCACGTACAGGTTGTATGTGGTCATACAGGAAGTCGGGTTGGAGGTTGTCAACACATAGCTCTAGAGTACGTAATCCCTGAAATATAAATAAAACATATTTGCATGGAAGTTTTTTGGAAATCCTTTTGGACTTACTCTAACTTTTTCTCTGTAGAAATTATTTGTATGTCTACCTTTTTGGTTTTCTGATATACCTGTCTAGGAATGATGATTGTAAGAAGCATAAGGGGTCTTACCTGACTAACAAGTGTCTGTGAACCATTCAACGCTGAAACTAAGGGGTCCATCAACATGGGTAAATAAGGGAGCAAAGAGCTCAACCTTACAGGAACAGTGAGACACAACTCTACAAACAAATCCTTCATGTGCTGCTTATGTAACCCACTCTGTAGACTATTCAACCCCTGGAGAAGGTTGGGTAATAGCGGCAAGAACTCCTGGTATAGCAGATCATGACTTCCTCCTCCTATCGAGCGGAATAGAGATCGCAACAAGAGGAAGTAGTTGTATGGCTCTTTAGCAGTCATTGCTAGCTCCATAGACTTGTTGACAATAGTATGAAGGTGGGGCTGAAATAAAATATAATATTTCTCATGTGAAATCAGTTGGAATTGTAAAAATGAAATCTTATCGAAATACATACTATTTTAATAGGCATTTGAAATTGGAAATTAAATAGGTCTTAAAATTTATCTTAACTTATAGAAAAGTGCAATAAGTATGAGGTGATGGTATGTTTACTCAAGTGCTGTAGTGTGTACATCTGTTTAATACCAGCTCCTTAGACAAAGGCTAAACACCTACCTTTAACATCTGCTCATTAACAGCTGCTAGGATTGAGACAGAACCAAATACCAGCTTGAATAACTTCAGATACAAATTGGACCTCTCCATGTTAGCTGGAATAGCAAAAAGGTAAATTTAAACATGTAAATTCTCCAAATACCAATATATGGTCTTTTTCAACTTAGTAATGACAAATAAGATACAGGAAGAAATTATCACATACATTTGGTGTAAATGTAAACTCAAACAGCACCAAATAAAAAAGGTAAATTTTTCTTTCAAACACGATAGCATCTAAAATATAGCTCAGCCTAAGACAAATCCTCAAATAAAAGCAATCCTTGATTCCTTCAAATAAAACGATTGGCCATATTTCTGTAAGGATGTGCATTATACTGTACAATATCATATTCTATTGTTGTGAGATGTTTCATTAAAAAACAATTCATAAAAAATACATACATCCCATTTCTTCGAGACGCTTCAACAGATATTCTACGAGGATTGTAGCAAATGTAGCAGATGTGGTGGGGTTAGCTAAGAATGAGTTGGCCACAATTTGCAGGGCATAGTTATGATGTATCCTCTCCACCATATACTCCACAGTTGTAGAGAAAATCTCACGGAACGTATTAGGATTCATCAAGGTAAACTGAAAAACCAAATGTTTCAAACTAACAGATATAAGTACTTTACAGGTACAGTAAAACCTGTTTAAACAGAACACCTGTAGGACAGATCAAGAGTGTTCGGATTAGCAGGTGTTCACATTTTAAGATTTCTAAATATGTGGGCCAATGGTAAATAACAAAACTCAGAAACCTTGTCCACATTGACAGGAGTTCCAATAAGACAGTGCTCGAGTTTTACTGTAGTTACATACATAAATTAACATTGACTAGTTTAATGCATTAACTTTGTTATTCACACCTATAAGCTTTACATCAGATAGATAAGTGACTGAACTATGCTTAGTAAAAGTTTGATGCATTTTCAAAGAAAAATAAAGGTTTTGCATTCAATTATCAAATGTTCAAATTTTTTTGGACCACCCTGTATATGAGACAATATTAAACCATGCTTTACATACCACTCCTGCAAAGTGTTCCAACACTTCCTTTTCTTCCTTCATGCGAACAGTCTGTACGCTGAAAAATATGATTTACATAAAATGAAAACAAGTCAAACACTTTTGTCAATAAACCAAAGTACATGTAACTTATATGTACATGACATTTGGAGGTTAGAAAATATGATTTACAGGAATGTCTCCCTGTAAGGCAAATATTCCTTTTTTATTTCTGCAATGTCATGTTAACCTTGAAAAATAGCCATCAATAGCTCAATGTCATAGCTAAGAAATAAACATTCCAACAAAAAAACTTTCTGTCCTCATAAAAAAGAAAGATGCTTGGTGATTGAAAACTTTCTATAGTATTAAATGCTCTACAATCACATTATATTAGTTCAAAAACAACAGATTCTGGAACTGTATATTATACAGTATAAACAAAAAATAGTGGGGTTGCTCCAGGTCCCTGAATAATAAGCTAACAATGACCTTTCCATTTAAATTGTCCAAGATTCCTTGCACCTGTTCACTGGACTGTACTTACTTGGCAGGTCTGATGTAGGCTTGACCAGCTGCTGTCATATTAACTGTGTAGATATCTAAAGCCTTCAATGCATGCTTCACAAGGCGGACAAACACAAGTGTCTCCTTGGGGAGGAACTGCTTGTTCTGTGTAAATGTGGCATCTAAATCAATAGTTGTTTGTACAAATATGGCATTTACTCAAAATAGTTTTGTATATCAAGGAGGTATCTAGATACCACAACAATTTGAGTTATGTTGCATAACTATGGCATTGATAACAATCATCTGTTTGGTTTAAATGTAACTTTTTCTTTTTCTTAATGTACACAATTGAAAGTCAGTATAAAGTACCTGTACACAAAATCAAAAAAGTAAAACTCTACAAACCTGTGCCAGGAGCTTTACATGAGGCTGTCCCCCAAGTTATTGTTTTCACCCCACAGACTAATGTTTTCACCAGGCTCCTACAGTCAGAAACAGAGTAATTGGCCCCTTTACCAGTCTACAAATACACAAAATAATATGATTATGATATAATAGTTTATCACATCTCAAACTTTAATGATGGACATGAAAATGATGGAAAATGAAAATAAAGGATACAATAGTCTGAATTCTCATGGGATAAATGGTGGTGAGTATGATATATTGGATATCACCCCTCAAAAATGAAATACACATTAAAACAAATTTCCTTCAGTTTGAAAAAAAATAAGCCAATGTTACAAATACATAATAATATTGAAGTCTTAATAGCACATGAAAAGTATATGTATCCTACAACGAGTTAAAGTACAATAAGTGGGAAGAACATGTGTTTTACAGTAAGATATAGTTCAATTCTGATGTCCTCATATTAACTATTGAAAAGGTTTGACTGAATCTTTAAAGTCCCCGTCTAAAGTTTGAAAATATTTTTTTATCATTCATGTACTATTTGTCAGGACTTAAAAAGTGATTTTAGAGATTTTTGAACAAAAATAATTTTTTGAAAAAAAAGTTGTGAGCATTTCATTTCTCAAATATTCAAATTTCCCGCCATTTATCAAAAAAAGTTGAAATTTCAAAATCATCAAATAGTTCTTAATGCATTTCAAAAAAGATTATCTTTTTAACACCAATGCAAAGATTGAACAAAGGACACACTATTATAATAGCAAAATGCCATATTTAATGGGCCACTTCAATGTTTTAGCATATCAAAAATATTTTGAAACATTAGTGATGTCACTAAGGTAGCAAAAACTTTTTGAAAAAAATTGAAATTTTTTTTTCGATGTCAATCTTTTTTAAATATGCTAGACTTTCATAAAAAACCAATGTTGATTGTCTAACCAGGTTAAAAGGAAGAATAAATTATGTTTTAGATATCATTGTACCATTGGTTTCTATGAGAACTAAAATTTTGAAATGCATTTTTCTCATAACCATTTTCATGCACTGATAAGTTCATTTCTCGCTTATTTATGAACCGATTTTCTTAATTTTTTCGGCAAAAAACATGGGAGGATGAATGCTATGCATTGGTATGAATTGTGGCTAATTAGAAGATATGAGTGACCTCTAAAAGTTGGTTTTAAATAAGTTCACAAATTTTGGAACAAAAAGTCTATCAAAAACCACTTTTTGAAATTTAAAAAAAAGGTTTCACATATCACACTTTGATAACATTGGGTAACACTACAATATAAGCCAAAGTGGTTTAAACTTTATATGGGGCCTTTAAAGAGGTCATCTGCATGTTTTAGATAGTATTTAAAGTACTTATCAGATTATTTGTAAACAGACTTATCTTTTCATGTTACAATACACACTTCATAAGTCTTTATCAGGGTTGGTCTACTCTTTGTGTGTCATATACATCTTAGATGTAAAATAATTATTTCTTATTCACCAGTAAATCATCAAGAAATGTATAATGTTTAGAATTTGGATTAAAAACAGTAACATTTAAGTGATAGCTTTTACTGTGTTTATTAATTTAGATTCACAAGTTATTTGGATTAAGGAACCATTCACTGAATTTAATTAACCAGTAGAGGAAATTTTCGCATTGTCTCATAGTTATATGATAACCCCTGCTTAGCCTGTTATCTTATCTTATTCACACAGTCTCATAAAAGCTAAACATTTGTAAAATAAAATACAAACCCGTCTATTGGGTATCCAAAACAACAGCCTTATAAATCCAAACATGGATTTAATATATGGATTGTTTCTTGGAGTTTTGTTTGTATCAAGTTGCACGTCGGAAGAATCTAAGGATGTGAAAAAGAGGTCACCTGTGGTTCAGACGCCATTGGGGGTCACGTATCCAGTTAGGACGGCAAAGGAAATACGACAACTTCAGGAAACTGGGGTCCTTGCACCTGGCGATGTCATAGAGATGCAAAATGGAATATGGGAATCGCAACGAATTATTGTTAACGTTTCCGGAACTGAGGAAGCTGGGCGGAGGATCTATCTGACTGCCCAAACTCCCGGAGGGGTAAGCCTGAGAGGGAAGTCATACATCCGAATGAATGGGAACTACATTGAAGTACGTGGGGCACTTTTTGAAGGAACAAGCTGGGAGAAACACTACCCATTTCAATTTTCCAAAAACACCCATCACAACCGTGTGACAAATTGCCTGGTACGTGGATTTAACCGTGAAGACTCAGTTTCAACGAAACATTACTGGGTCGAGTTATGGGGTTCATATCATACAGTAGACTGGAACGCTTTTGAAGGGAAAGGTATGCACAATGGTGAAATTGTACGTGTGAAAGGTGACCCGTCAGAGGTAAGGGAATCATGGGGACATTATATCGCAAATAATTACTTTGGAGCAAGACCAGATGTGCAGACAAATTCGGCAGAGGCTATTCAAATTGGGATGAAGAACAACTTTCAGGATTTAGAAACAGTTGTAGAAAACAATGTGTTCTATAACTATGATGGCGAGATAGAAACTATCTCTGTAAAAGGTTAGTTTTATTTAATACTCACATCTACCCAGTTTAAATATCCAAACTCTTGCCATATAAGCTTGGTCTCTGGTTAAAATTGTGTGAAAAATGAATATGATTCATTAAGGCCAAATTCTTGACTCAAACTTCTAAAATCCTATTTCTAATAGTATTTCTAATTCTATGAGTGGTTGTATAGACAAAAACTGAATTCATTTCATTAAGACTTCCAGTTATTTTCTATCTGAACATTGGGTCTATAAAATTATATAAAGAAAGACTGAAAATAATACTCAGTAAAGAATATTGAGATTGATAAAATGTTTTGAACTGTAATATGCACTACCTTTTATTTGAATTTTCAGGTAGTAATTGTACGCTACAATACAACACATTCATCCAGAGTAAGGGGCTACTTTGTCTTCGTGCTGGAGACAGAAACGTTGTCCAGGGGAACTACTTTTTCTGTGACAACAAAAAAGACTGTGGAGGGATACGCATCCATGGTAACGATCATCGGATCTTAAATAACTATGTCGAAGGTGAATACTCTGCATCAATGGCACGAGGTTCAATGATAGTGCATTCTGGGAACCCTGAAGCTGGATCAAATGGCGACAAGAGACGAACACAGCGATCATTAATTGCGTTCAATTCTTTTGTGAAATGCCGTCGTTGTATAATCATTGGAGAAGGTGGCGAGGAATACCCGAGAGACAATATAATCAGTAACAACGTAGTATGGGGCGAGAATCCACTTGTCACACTTATCGACATTGAAGATGGCGCCGTAGACAATGCCCACAATACATTATTTGAGAGTAACATAGTATCTAATGGATACTCATTTAGGACAGGAAATGGGATCCGTCAGACAGCCCCTCGACTGGTGAGACACCCAGTATTCCAGTACTACACTCCCTCGGCAGAAAGCACTGCACTGATACGCCAGGCCCGTGGTAAGCAACTATAGTATACATATAGTTTTTACATGTATTGTATTTTGTAAGAGAATTGTAATCTAAAGTAAATTGCTTTGTAAACCTAAAAACTAATCTCTTACTTTAATAAGATGCAGATAGTATTGCACTAAAAATAAAGTATTGGAATACAAAACCTCATTTTTTTATTAGGAAGTGTATAATGAGTAAAATATTTGATTGTTTATCAGGAGAATACAGACGTGCTACTACTGAAGACATCAGTGGCAGATGGCGTGCAATGCCTACTGACATAGGAGCTGCCCTCTATGAAGCAAACACAAATGAGATCCCCACAAGACGTCCTTTAGGACCATCAGACGTTGGACCTGACTGGTACACTCCTACACTGATCAACCCACAAGAACACTGGGAACAGTATGACTTCTCCCATTATGACGATTTTGACTTCTCTCAAGAGGGTATCAAAATACCAAAGGTCAAGGTCAAAGATGGCAAGGTTATTAAACCAGAAATGAAACTAGATTAACTAATCTGAGTTATTACCCATAATGCTCCTGAGCTGTCTGCATCTTTTACAATGAAAGAAAAATATTTACTTTTGTATATATCTGTATTATTATTATTATTATTATTATCATTTATTTGCCTGTATTTAAACAGAGTAGTTTAACACATTAATTATAAATTACAATCTATGTATTGTGAAATCGAACATAAAAATAAACCAATCTATATTATGAACATTTTTGTTATTTTGTTTGAAACACAAACTTGCGGTATTACCTGATTGTCTAAATACAGTCAATAACTAAGAGCAACCTGTGTTACCTACATAGGCTCTCATCATGCGTGACCTTTTGTTTGTCATACTTAAGATGATTTTAGATATCTCTATCATGTCCTCTCTGTCAACGTTAACTTCGTTGAATGCAAATAGAACAGATGTTCTTGAATAAGCATTAATGTATTTCCTTGTGATTAATGTCAGTTTGGCATGCTCATCTGAGTACGCGTTGCAAGAATTCAGAAAGTGGTCAATTGTTTCTATTTCAAATAAATCACATAGCACACATATACAGTTAATACCAGAATTTTTAACGCGAAGATCATGACAGTCCGTGGCGAGGCGCATTATGTTTTTACATGGTAAGAGAAGTTCTGGTTTTAGTCTTGATAACGTCCACCAGGCAGTTGGCTTCATAAGACCTGCTGACGTCTCGCTGATATCGCAAATGTTCTGACATATTTCGTGCCTATTGTACATTGAGCTTGTTGTCCTAAAGTCTCGTCTTATCTCGCAGCCTATTAAGTCTCTAATCTTGAGCTTCCAAGCAGGTTTTGTTGGGAAAATGGCAGAGGTAAGCATTTCTATGACTGCCTCTTCTAGGTTGAACCGCTGTACACATTGCCACATTCTTGATATAGGTGAATTCCATGATGGCAAGCTGCTCGTTACTATCTGAGTAAGTCTTAACATCATGAGTTGTTTATAAATGTTATTCATTGGCAGACAAAGTATTCCGAAAAACATCAGCAGTCGATCGTACATGATTTTCATTTGTATTGGCATAATCCCAAGGGGCATAATTGAAGTTGGGTTACTACTATTCTTGGGCAAAAATTGTATGCGCCTGCAAATTTGGCGTTGTGTTACCTCTAGCTGCTCAATTTCTCCTCTCTTATAGTCAATTATTTGATCCCCATATAACATAGTTGGGATGCTAAAACTATTGTACAATTTGGCACTAACAATAGGTGTCAACCCTCCAGATTTACTACCCAAACCAAATAAGGAGTACATTTTCCTTTTCCCATTGGAGCTTGCTCGAGCTACGTGGTCTTTAACATTTCCCGAGGTTGATAATGGTATACCGACGTGTAATGCACTAGTTACGTTCTTAATGTTCTCTTCACCCAGTTTAAAATTAAACTTGGAGTTTGATGTGTCTCCATATGTTAAAGCAACGCACTTATCTGGATGTAGTATATATCGCCATCTATTACTGTGCATAAACGCCATGTCAATAAGCGTATTCATAGCGTTCGGAAAAAGTGATATGAGTGCAATGTCATCGGCATAGGCTGTAATTCAAAACATGAACAGTTTTGAAATAAAAATGGGAATGATTTTTGGATAAAAACCAAATAAAGTATAAATGAACTGCAGAATATTGTTTGTGTAAAACTGCATTATAGAAAGGTTTTGCACAATGGGTTTTAGCTAAAATGTATGTGCAACCTCATCTTGTTTTATTTGAAATGCTATGTATAAATCTGGTGAATGCATTGTTGATTTTAGATACGTTGAGCTAAAAACATTGTGCGAAACCTCCCTAATAACACGAAAATTATAAATCAAGAATAAGATAAAACAGAAAAAGTTCTAAAAATTAATAAAGTAAAGCAATCAGAGGGGTTTCTTACCTTTTCTTTTTCATCTTTCGAGTCAGTAACTGTAGTTCCAGGTTTATCATCTTTCACATCTGGCTCTTTCTTGATCTCAATAGTAGGTGGAGGGGTGGGGGTCTTGCTTGTTGAATCATTGGTGGGGCGACTGATATGAAAATTTTGAATATTTTTAGTGTGTATAAAGGGGTGTTCAATGAGTCAATGATTTATTTTTTTGGAATTGTTGGATAATTCACAAATTACCCATTTTTCAAAATTAATTTGTACATTACAAATTCACTTGAATCTAAAAAATATTTCATGATAACTTGTCCCCTATGATTGTACGCTATATGCCTTATATTCTATTTTTCACTATTTTATGTCTTATCTCAATGGATATAAGATATCTTAATCTGTAAAAAAATCAACTTACCATTTAGACATAATAGCAGGTAGCTGTAGTTCTGCTATAGTTTTAAACTTCATCACAAACACGACTAACATTCTCATCAACAATTCCCGGCCCTAAAAATATGAACAAAATTACCATTTAAAAACATTTTATGAACAAGAGGCTCGGAAAAATGACCCTGATAGTGCAAAGCCATGAATAACTGGCACTATTGAAACCCACTTTTTCTCAATTGAGTGTCCACTGTAATCCACTTGCATTAACCACTATTATAATAACATAAAGGAAATAAAATAAAAATAAAAATGGAGAAAAATACACCATTCTTTCAACACTTTACACTATGAAACACAGAAACTTACATTTCCAGTTTCCTGTTCACTACGCTGACCAATACATTCTACGAGATTCAATAATAATTTACAGGACATTGTCTGAATGTTGCTGGGTAGAGTTTCATCATGGACATTCTTGGAGAAGAGATTCACTGCCATGGAGAGTTCATTAAGAGGCAAGGACTGCCTCACATGGTGCACTAAGTCAGCTAGGGTGCTATAAGCCAGTGGCCTGCAATGAAAATAATACCCAAATTGATAAGTCTGCAAGTGATATATGCTAAATATGAGTAAATACAACAGAACTCATAAATGAACCTATATCCATGTAGTGGCTCTAGAGATTCAACTTTACATGGAGACATGTATATGTTCAGTTATCAATTCTGGGGTATCCCCCTCTTTTATACCCTGCATACATACTAGTTTGATAGCTGTGTATACTCTGAATAAAATTTAGGATATCACTTTTTCTGAAGACTACGGCAAAATGCCTTAGATACTATGATAAAAGATATAAATAATATGTGTATACTCTGAATAAAATTTAGGATATCATTTTTTTCTGAAGACTATAGCAAAATGCTTATGAGATACTATGATAAAAGATACAAATAATATCTTTTTGCTTGACTAACTGCTTCGTTACCTTGCATTCAGTCCTCATTAGTAGTCTCATCGTATTTTGTATTTTCTTAACTTTTACATGTGATACATAGTCACATATTTTTAATGGCAATTGGTAGCCCAAGCATTGAAAATACTCAAAACTTGTTAAAAATCCACTGGCACCCAGTTGAGAATTTGGAAATTCATGAAATTTTTTTCAGTGTTTGATAAATGACAAATCTAGCATATTCACCTGAGTGACTCATGCGTTGTCCAGCCAGATCCAATCAGAATGTTCTCGTCAAACAGCTTATCAATGTGTGGAACAAACCCTGGCAAATAAATACAAAATATCGTGTGAGTGTTTGATTGAAGGCATGTACATGTATAGATGAATGAATGAACTCACAAACCAATAGATTATTTATTTTGAATTTCAATGGAGCAAGCTCTAAACTGCTTCTTTTCAGAAAGGTCTGTTCCACAAATAATGTCTGAAGTATAATAAATAAATATTCATCAGAAGGCTTCACAAAGAAATTATTAATATTTAAACAGTACTAATGAAAAAAATATTAATATTCTAACTCACGATTTCTGAGATCAGTTGCGAGTATATGACGTGCTGCTATAAGTAGCTCCTTCCTCAGATGAGCGACCTCTAGTGGACAAAGAGTAAACAACTGTAGCATTCCGCGCACCATCTGCTGGGAATGTGTGTTCACAATTTCCTAAAAAATACACATATATAATTATATGTTAATATAAATAAATAAATATACAATAAGGATTATACTTCACTGAAATTGAGATGTAGAAATGAGGAATGAAAAATGTGGAAATATGCAAGCTAACATAGTACATTAATCAACTCAAAATTCTGTTATCAGCTATTTTGTCAGACTTTCATGAATGTAATAAACTTTTGAACATTAAAATATTGTTGACCTTCATTGCATGGGAAAATATAAAACTCAAAAGAAAAAAATTACAGCATTTAATGCAATTCATTTAAAGTGTATACTATGTACCTGATACATGCGAATAATGTATGCAAGGAAGGATAGTGTTTTGATCTGGGCAGCTATAAAGTCCACAAAAACCTCTTTATTGAAGGCTGGGTTTCCTCTGCAAAAGAAAACGTTTTATTCAGTTAGTTGTATTCCCTTATAACTTACCACATATGATTTAGTAAATATATTATACATTGAAACTTTTTGTTCAGGTCACAAGGTGAAAACAAGGCATTAACATTGCAAAATGTCACCACCATTTCTTAAAGATGTCAAGCGCCGATCACCAACTGCCGATCACCAACCGCTGTCACAAAAAATGGAGACCATCACAATATGTCACCACTTTTTGGTGTTGACATAAAAATGGTTTAGCTCTAGTCTAGCTACAACACCTTCTGATTCCCACTACACACCTTTCGACAAGTGATGAAGTAGACAAGGAGGAGGGGAGGGGGTCAGAGACTTGAAGTAAGAATAGTTTGACTCTTAAAATCAACATTTCAACATACAGATAATTGATTAGCTAATGCTTGTCACTTTTTGCTCATATTAACTTTACTTATACTTTGGCAGAGACATACCTGTGTTGTGGGGATGGTTGGAGAATGATAGTGTTCATAATGAGAGGTATGAAGTCTGCAACATCACTGTGTACACTCTGTTTGTATAATTGATACATCAGCACCACTATGATTGGCAGTTCTGCTAGGACCTTCAGCGATAGCACTGCTCTGGGGATTATATTGCACTGAAATTGAGATATATGCCATGGGGATTATATTGCACTGAAACTGAGATATATGCCATGGGGATTATATTGCACTGAAACTGAGATATATGCCATGGGGATTATATTGCACTGAAACTGAGATATATGCCATGGGGATTATATTGCACTGAAATTGAGATATATGCCATGGGGATTATATTGCACTGAAACTGAGATATATGCAGGGATGTCATTAGAATTCATGAAAGGAGGATCATTGGCATATAAAGGAGGAGCAATACTGTAAGATGGCTGCGCGGTGCAAACTAGGGGGTCTGGGGACATGCCCCTCCAGAAAATTTTGAAATTTAGACCCTCTTTGGTGCATTCTGAGCATATCTGAGCACAACATTTTCAATAATAATATTTATAATACATAATTCATTCATTTCTGACGCATGATCAATCTCAATGAAATATAAAGATCAACATTCAATAGTTTGATATGTATTTTTGACTTGTAATATTTTATTTGTTTTCAAATGTTGCCCTTTGTGCTTCCTCACTATGATGTGAGATAATCCCAAAAAGATCAATTGTATTAATTAAACAGTTTGTTTTCAAGATTATGTGTAATTGTTAATAATAGTATCCATTGAAAGTTGGCAGGACACTGATAAAGGTTTTTTGCTACTGACCCATTAATCTCAAAGCAATGATGTTTTGGTTTTAGAGGTCAATCAAAATGGTGGCCGAATTACTGTAAGATAATTATCTCAGTGTTTCTCTAAAACACTACTGATTATCTGCCTATTACACTTAGATTTTGTCTTCACAAGGTAGGCCAATTTATATTCTTTCATTTGATATGTTTAACTGAATTGAAAGCCGGAGATTTTCATCTGAAAGCCGGAGAATTCTCCGTGACCCGGCTTGTAATGACATCCCTGTATATGCCATGGGGATTATATTGCACTGAAATTCAGATGTATGCCATGGGGATTATATTGCACTGAAATTGAGATATATGCCATGGGGATTATATTGCACTGAAATTGAGATATATGCCATGGGGATTATATTGCACTAAAATTGAGATATATGCCATGGGGATTATATTGCACTGAAATTGAGATATATGCCATGGGGATTATATTGCACTGAAATTGAGATGTATGCCATGGGGATTATATTGCACTGAAATTGAGATATATGCCATGGGGATTATATTGCACTGAAATTGAGATATATGCCATGAGGATTATATTGCACTTAGATTAAGATATATGCCATGGGGATTATATTGCAATGAAATTGAGATATATGCCATGGGGATTATATTGCACTGAAATTGAGGTATTGTGGATCATACTGGACTAAAATTGAGGTATATGGGGATTATATTGACCTGAAATAAAGAAATTGAAAATTGAGATATCTTGCACCAAAATATGGATATTTCTTTTTATATTTCTATTTAACACTGAAAAACAGTGATTAATTTTATTTCTAGAGTCCCGTGATTTGTTAGTACATGTATATTGAGCTTTAGATTGAAACTAAGCCAACCTAATCTTTTACATTTTGTGAGTAACCGAAAACCTTGATGCACTTTCTCGTATTTATATAATTTGTATATAGCACCATAAACCTCAGTTTATATAACTCACCGATACCTGTTGACCATCAGAATTCTTTTTATCAGTCATAATCGTTGTCATGGTGAAGGTCTCTGCAAGCATTGTTTCCACATTCACCTCAGACATTTCTTTAACTTTTACTTGTGCACGAGGCTCAAATATCTTAGCTAGGTGGTTTGGGAGTTCCTTGTAGATTGTCTTGACAAAATGCAAGAATTTCTGAATCTGAAATGAGTAGAGTAAAACATTGCAAAAGATTATCTGTAAATATTCAACTTTTAATATTTTGTTTAATTATGTGAGTAAATGCATGAACTGTAGTTAGATTTCACAATATATCACTTTAAGTGCTGAGGAGGTTTCCAAGTGTAATATATGTGGGATAGAAGAAGTACTATTGCAACACCACAGCGAATGAAGAGTACAGTAGTACTATAGCATTTGATGGGTTGGTTTTAAAATAAGAGTCAGCCATATTTATGACTACAGCCCATAAACTTTTAGCTTGTTTATCACTCTTGATAATAACTTTTTTGAAAACTCTCACTATCCCAGAATACCACAATAACAGCATCATCTATCTTACTCACTAAAATCAAATAACTTCATTATTTTTCAAATATTTTATGATGCATCAAGAGATTCCATTTCGATATTCACTAAGGCCCTAAAAACTATAAATTATGGTAAAGCTTAAAGGGTCTATGGTCTGACATACCTCTTGGTTCATCTGTGGCCTGTACTGTTTATGAAGCTCCATAATGATCCGCAATGCAACCAATACATTTTCTTCATTCTCTTTCTGTAGAAAGAAAAATCAATTTTTAACTTCTTATTCAAAATTAATTGATCTCACAGGCATTCTGCCATTTCATGTGTATCGTACATATACACATTTTACAATATAAACTTAAATAAAAATTGACATTGGACCATTTAATTAGAAAGTTAACCAAATAATCGCAATATTTTCTTTTTTAACTTCAGAATTTTCTGACAAAAGGATTTCTGAACCCCTACTCCGTCCTCTTTGAATACTATTATTATTATTAGATGCTTGATGACCAGATGATTGGTCACTTATCAAAGAAATATGAAAACCACAACATTTGACTTAGTACATGTTACATTTACCTTTATGATCTGTTTTATGTAGCATTTTAAAGTTATTATTCCAATCTACAGACCCAAGTTTGGGAAATTATGATTAATAAATGACACCCTCACAGTGACCAGGGGTTTCAATAAGCACAGGCGGATGGCGAAAACGCCTGTTCAAATCTCAATTACGCCTGTTCAAATATGTAGAAATAAAATTCACTGTTACCTAACTTACCCTAAATCATTTTAGTGAAATAAGTTTCAGCCTGTTGAAATTGCCAAAAAGCCTGTTGAAAAAATATTTGTTGAAACCCCTGAGTGACCCTTACATACCTCAAGGAGACCAAACATGATTGGTAGAATCTGTTTAACGTAAGGCCGGAGATGCTCATTGGTTGGAATCCTATGAAGAATTTCAAGTAGGAGTTTGCGTAATTGTTGATTGTTCTGCTCTGCCACAAATTGAGGTTCGCCATCTTGTAAAATCTTGAGAAATACACGCATTGCATCTTGCAAGAATTGTTGATATTGAGGGGATGACGTCACTGTCTGAAAAAGAAGTAATGGAAGAAGTTAGCACACACGAAGATGGATTATTCCCTTTCACTGATTCAGAAAATATAGGGCACAATTTTTTTGGGATACATGAACATGTAAAAAGTCATTATTTATATTTGTTTCTGGCTTTCGGTAATAAAAACTTGACTTAACTCGTGAGTCACTGACTATTAAATAAACTATTTTCTTTAGAAATATGATAATCCAGCTTGTTTGACTTCCTTCCGCTTACCTCAAAGTTTTCACTAAGCTCTTGGGCTGCTTTTAATTTCTTTTCTACACCTATAAAATAATACAAATGTTCACATTTTGTACAGGTCATATGACCCAGATGCTTTTTCCTTGATACTGTTTACTTCAGGTTTTATACGATAACTAAATGTAATAATATTTTTCTGACACAAAAAAGAAATTTGCAAGCAGCATATACAATTGACCTAGCATTGTATCCCTTACGATCTGAAATATAATATCTCCTAATAAATCTGTGATATGTTATTAAACTGGTGAAGTTATTTCAAATTTAAAGTGTGAAACATTTACAGAAAATTAATACATCATTGTAAAAATCCTGTTTTCCTGTATCACGGGATGTCATCGCCTGATTTGGTCAATGTTAGGGAGCAGGTCGTTTTTACAATAAATTTCAATATTTTCACACAAAATATTTTTTTACTGAAAAACTGCTCATTCGCAGAGAAAATGTACTAGCACATGCAATGACAATGTCAATCATGCTTCTGTACGAAATTCGGCGGAAGTCTTTTATAATCTAATACGAAGTTACTAAAAAAGGCGCGAACGCCCTACACTCAAAATGATCGTTTTTCCATTATAACTTTTTAACGTAATTTAACGAAGGCTTCTAATTATTATCCAAGATAGTCTAAATACCGATTAAAATATTTCTTACTTCAAACAGATACGCCGTCTTTTATTCAATTTTTTAAAAAATAATAAAAAATAACTCTTGTCAATGTTAGGGAGCAGTCAATGTTAGGGAGCAAAATGATTTTATCAGAATATTAAAAATGTAGCAAATGGCCATTTAAAATATGTATGGCATTTATAAACTAAACAATATTGTTTGAATGATTATTTTAAACCCCTTGCCTTAACAAAATTTAACAAAATCGATAAAAAAATTGTTTTGCATTTTTGTTATCTTCAGAAAATGGACTCTCAAAGATTTTTGACGAAGGAAAGTTAATTATTATCATGGATAATCTCAGTACATATTGAAATATTTCTTACTTCAAACAGGTACACCTTTCTTTAATTTTTTTTAAATAATAAAAAATAAGTATGATCAATGTGGCGGAGCAAACAATGCAGTGGGGCAGAGAACATTTTTCATCCAACTACAATATGCATAGACATACTATGGATAGACATATGGTAGACGCTGTGGAATATAATTGTCACACTTGTGGTAGCAAGTTCAAAAGGAAAGATCATCTTATTCAACATATGATGGTGCATAACTCTAGTGATCATAAGAATATGTACGTATGCAGCAAATGCCCAAAACAGTTCTCTAGGAAAAGCTGTTTGAACAGGCACGAGATGACCCACAAGGACTCTGAGTTCTTTTGTGAGACTTGCCAGGACATGGGATCAGATATGGAGGGCACACGCTTAAACGTTCACAAGAAGCTTGTTCATGGAAACACGTTATTCAAATGTCCACATTGTTGTAAGGAGTTTAAATACCGAGCAACCTTACAACGGCATATTAAAACGAATCATTCTTCAAACATGTAAGATAGCGTAATAAATGCGCAGCTGCAGTTGCTAGCTAGCTCATGATCTAGTAGCATGAAATGTAATGTTTTGTTATTTTAAAAATTATGTCTCCCCTGAACTGTAAATTTCAAAAATATTCTCAATAATTCCATGATAATTCATTCATATAATTACTGTAGTACATTGGAAAGTGAAATAAGTAGCTTGCACGGTGGATATGGATGACGCAGTCCAGCCACGTACTGTATGTGTAATCCCAGGTTAATATATAGGGTGTCCCCAAGTCTGCAAGTGAGCCGCTTTTTGACAATTAAATTCATTCAAAACTTAAATAAAGTAGCCTTAAGCCCAGTATACACCAATGGGACAAAATCCTACTTGCCCATCGAGTCCGATCTTGCCCTATCGAATCCGAACTTGCCCCAATGAGTCCAACGGAGTCCCATGGTTGATGACTTTGCCCCATCAAGTCCCAACGTGCCCCATCGAGCCCCATGGAGTCCCATCAAATCCCACCTTGCCCCATTGGTGTATGTTGGGCTTCACATAACATGTGACCTGATCGGAAATCCCACGATGCCCCATGGAAAGAATGTTCATTCTCGATGGGGCAAGATGGGACTCCGTGGGATTTTGCCCCATCCTGCCCCATCGAATCCCATCGAGTCCAACGTGGGACCTCATGGGACTCGATGGGGCAAGATTATATGCAAGTTGGGGCAAAATCCGACGGAGTCCCATTGATTCCCACGGACTTCATGGGGCAAAATCCCAAAAGGTCCCACTAGGTCCCACGCCATGTTAAGTCTATGGAGGTCCCAACTTGTCCCATTGGTGTATACCGGGCTTTAGAGTATCATTAGCAAGTGGTACACATATAACAGAGATCGGTTATATACTGCATTGTCTGAGTATTGACAAATTGAAGTATACGTGTAAAAATCTACTATCATACATGTAACTGCGCAATGAGCACTTCATAGCGTTTGTGCCAGCTATCAGGTGATACCCGGTCGTAAAGATAAGTGCGAGACTAACTCTCTTACTTTAATACTAGGAAAATATCAAATCATAGAACTGAAGGATGTCGGAGATTTCTCAAGCCTATATATCAGTTCAGATAATTTATCATCCACAATTTAGGATTGTGAACTGATGACATCATCAAAAAGTGTATATAACGATACATCCATTCATTTACAGTTACACCCCAGTCACATTTGTCGCACGGCGGCCGCAAGTCGACCGCAGATCAATTAAATCGGTGAATTTCTGCGGCGAGCGTAGAAAAACTACGCTCGCCTTGCGGCCTCCGTACGGCGAATCCAGTTTTTTACAGGCCGCAGGGTCGCCGTAGAAATTATAACTCGGAGTTATAATATTTGTTCATTTCTGAGGTCCCCGTAGAAATCAATAGGCTCAACAAGATTGAATCATTATTTGTCAATGTTTCACGATCACTTTTCATTTGATATTACATCCTAGCACTATGAATAACATTTATAAATTGTCCCGATGTAAATAAAATGAAAAAAGTATTATTTATCAACAGAAATTTAAAATTCACCGTGCGGCTGCCGTGGGAAATGTGACTGCAAAAGTATGAGAGCGCAGAAATTCCACGGTGAGTGTAGAAATGTTACAGGCCGCAGAAATGATAGACCGCAAGGTCGCCGTAGGAAATGTGACTGGGGTGTTAGAGGTCAACGAATAAAGAAGGAATGGTTCGCATCTAAAACGAACGTAAACAGGATTTAGCTGAAAATAAAAAATGCAAAATAACCTTTTCAATGATTTTCTTACAATTTTAACGCTTTCCTCCCCAAAGGGTATCAAATAATCATACAAACAAAATTGTTCAGTTTATAAATGCCATACATATTTTAAATGGCCATTTGCTACATTTTTAATATTCTGATAAAATCATTTTGCTCCCTAACATTGACTGCTCCCTAACATTGACAAGAGTTATTTTTTATTATTTTTTAAAAAATTGAATAAAAGACGGCGTATCTGTTTGAAGTAAGAAATATTTTAATCGGTATTTAGACTATCTTGGATAATAATTAGAAGCCTTCGTTAAATTACGTTAAAAAGTTATAATGGAAAAACGATCATTTTGAGTGTAGGGCGTTCGCGCCTTTTTTGTAACTTCGTATTAGATTATAAAAGACTTCCGCCAAATTTCGTACAGAAGCGTGATTGACATTGTCATTGCATGTGCTAGTACATTTTCTCTGCGAATGAGCAGTTTTTCAGTAAAAAAATATTTTGTGTGAAAATATTGAAATTTATTGTAAAAACGACCTGCTCCCTAACATTGACCAAATCAGGCGATGACATCCCGTGTGTATGCACATTGTGGATATTAAGAAAATAGACTTGACAAAGAATGCTATAAGTCAAATATATTCTAAAATTGAAACAATTTTTGTAATGACATGCTTGCTAGATCTGATACCACCTTTTTTAGAAGGTTGTAACAGAAGTTTATGCCCCCGGAAGTTAAGCTTACCTGTCGTAGGATCAGCAATAAGAGCAACATATGATTTGAAGGTCTGTATCTGACCCACAGTCTCCTGAGGACTCAGGGGTGGTGCCATCTTTCAAATTATAGCCTATATGGCAGTCAACTTGTGCTTGATATACACATGTGCATTGCTCTGAAATAAGTGAAAGGTACACTTGATGATTATTAATGATCTATCATTAATCTTCATAGAACAGCTATTTTTTTCATTGTATTAATTCATAGCGTGGTGAAAACGATGATTGAAAAGTGAGAAAATATTCCGGAAGAGAAGGTCATGTGATCAGTAGACTAGTCGCCATATTGGAAAAAACAATTCCATTTGACTTTCAATACTTTCATGCCAATCTTACCGCACTACAAACTGCGACATCGATGCAACAACTGAATAAAAGTATTCATCTTCAAATTACATTATAGAGTTACGTTGAAAACCCACAAACAAATGAGCAGTAGACCAAAGAAGACGCGTCGCTATTATCTAGGTCAATCTGTTCAGTGGTCCGAATTTTGTTGTTCATTGTACAATCTTTTATTGATTAAACTCGATATACTGACTATTAAAGCAATGACAAAGAAGAATACTTACGATGGTGTCATTGTTTTATTTAGCGTGCTGGTGTGAAAACAAAATTGAGTAATTAGTTTGATTTAGAACTTTCGTGTCACGCAAATAGCTACACGAAATTCATAGTTGGAAAATATTGACCAATCAAATTTTGTCCTTTTTGAGTGCTTTTTCAGTGCATATTTGCGAACGTTCTGATTCAAAGAGCGAACCGTGAAAAGGAGAATTATGGCCTTGACGTTATATCCCAATCAGACAGTTTATACTCAGAAAGTATGCTATATTTGTATAACTGAATTCCTTTTGATGGTATTAGAGCAGTATTAAATTTCGAACGGAATGCGTGACATATAGGTGATTCACGTTAAAAGTCCGAACGGAATGCGTACATTTTTTTTGGCGTTCGTATTTTTGCTGTATCGACGAGCTTTTTAGAAATTTTTCTACAGAAATATTTTTGCTTGACAATTACCAGGTAAAATGCGTCTTTGCGTTTTTTTATTGGATATAGACTAAGGCCTATGTGGGAAGAGTTGAACAAGAAATAAAAAGGTTCACAGAGCAGAGATCAATAAACTTTCATTATAGTAGATCCATCTTATGAGCATCTAACTAAAAATGAAACAGTTTGAGTGGGCTTAGCCAATAACAGTGGCAAAATAGAAAATAACAGTTCAAAAGTGAAATATTTGAAAGTGAGAAATCAAACAAAAACGCGGTCTTCACTTCGAGTTCGAATCCTTCAAAAATTGCAGCATTTCTTTATCAAATAATGGTCGCAAATAGTCGAGGCGTTATTTAAGAAGTATTTTGTCAACTTTGAAGAAGTGAAAGGCAATCTAATTAGCGAAATATCTACAAAACATAAGAAAAGTACTCACCAAGAAACACTCAAACTTCGTGACGTCATAGATCTACCTTCAAAACTGAGGGTCATATGGCCGATAGGTGGCCGATGACTAGTTCAATTTCCGGTTCGAAACATCTTTAAAAATTTAGTTGAGTTTTGTAAGATTATGAGAACAAAGAAAGATTTTATTCGAATATTTTAATTTTAACCAAAGTGTCTTTATGTAAGCTTCTTGCAGATGTAAGGATTTGAAACATACTTCTGGTATTGGTCCACAGAATCAGTCCCAAATATGGGGCTTCTTTTTACAAAACTTTGGAGTTTCTTCACAAATGAAGGTAAGGAAGCTGTCAGTGTCAGCTGTCAAACATTCTTTGTTTTCAGAATATTATGTATCTTCACAATTGATAAATATTAAACAAGAGTTTTATATTTGGGAAAAAGGCCCTACGGCAATTAGGGAAGTCAAGAACTTGTGAATACGATGTGATTTTGTCGTCAACGTCTTTTGTTTTGTCACATAAAAAAAATGAAATATTAAAATTCACCACTAACTTTTCAAAAAATGTGTCATGTAATTCATTGGCATTGTTGGTTATATTCTTGAAAGTATCAGACGCCAAAGCGGTAGATGTGCGATTCAAGATTTTATTTTATCACTCATTTAGATCTAAATATTTTTCTATTCTCTGAAATAGGAAGGAGGAAGAATATTGTATTGGTCAACAGTTTGCATTATTTTTACTTAATATGATGATGGATGTTTATCTGGTAATGGCCCTAGGGCGCCCCAGGGAAATGACTAACTAACGAGCATAGTGTAACAAGCCAGATAAAGAAATTGAGAGAAAGTGCAGTGTTCTCCCCAAAAAAAATTTCAACTGGGTGCAAGATTTCAAGTCTGAAAAAATCAGCACTCGCTACGCTCACAATATCTCTGTGTAGGTGCTTACTTCACTCATTTTTTAAATCAGAAGTTGAAGTGCAGATTGCCAACTGGGGGGCCTTTGGTTTCAAGTAGGGGGAGCCCCCGGTAAAAGTGACATGGGGAGATCACTGATTTGTGCTATATTCAATGCCCCATATGGGAATCGAACCTAAGACCCTTGGACCCAAAGTCTGATGCTCTACCGACTGACCATAATAAAGCCTTAAGCCACTACAGCTGGACTGTAGTAGCAACTTGCTATCAAGGCTCGTTACACTATCTTCCCCTTTGAAAGGATCACACCTTCTTGGTCAGCCCTGCTTTCCCTAGCAGTGACTACCACACATACATGGGCGCAAATAATACAACCAATGCTTTAATCCCACATCTGACACCAATGTAAAGACCCGAGGGCGTCCCATGTGTATTGTATATTATCGAGTGATGTTCTGCTATTAAGAAAGTCTCAGTTGTGTTGTCTAATTCCATCGACACTGTCCTTCGAGAAATGTAATTTGAAACACCATTGATAACATCATTTTTAGAAATAGTCAACCCGTAAATTGTAAAATTGACAACGTTTTCAAGAAACTGGCTCCGGAATTAGCTTAGCCTCAATGTGTGATGGTAGTTGATAGATAAAGTATGTCCTTTAAATTGGGACTTTAGCCTTTCACCAAACAAATGGAAGAAATAAGAAGGAGCATTTTGATACTCAACTTATCCAAATCCCATGAGAAAGAAATATACGACATGGGTTATCTTGTTAATAGGGAGAGATCATATCAAGGAGATCCTAAGATTTAGAATCATGTCTAGGGGTTTTATGCTCAATTCCATTTGAATAATAACACTACCCTTTCAATCTGAGAATATTTAGTGAGCAAAAGAGGTGAAAATTGGCAGATGAAAATGAGATGTGAAATCAACATTGCTGTTATAAGGACTTCTTACCTCAAATTGATCCATAGGGCTTCCCAAATTGAATGAATCATATTACCTTTACACATAGGACATCATAATGACTCCATCTTATGGGAAGATTTATATTTCACTTTTGTATACAGTTGCTTCAAATTAATTACATGTCAGCTGTCCCAAAAATATGTAAGGATGCAACAAAAAGATTTACAAATGTACATCCATTTTAAATCTCATGCCATGCTGAAGAACCATAAAGTACGTTTATAAGTGATATATACAAAGGTGCTATCCTAACAATCTGCCCAATATACTTTTTTGCTTTTGAACCTATTGTGAACTTTACATAAATATTAAGATTAATATCGTATATGAATTAATTCGAGATTAGGGAGGGGGCATATAAGTATAAGGGATACCACAAATAATGCTCTTTAATTTCCAGGTTATAAAGTTCATATCAAAGGAAATAAATGTTACTTGTATTTCCAGAGCACAAGGTGATCATAGTTGGCTTAGACAATGCAGGGAAAACCACAATTTTATACCAATTGTAAGTACAGTATTCTAGTTAAAGCTACATTTGACGAATAGTGATTATCATTTGGTCTCAAAGAAAACTGATTCACATTTAAATATGAAAAATTGCCAATGTTTCATTATCCTATTTGAATTCAGAATTCCTACAATTGTCCATTTAACAGATATTGTACAGTTCCTATAATAAACTGTAGACTGTCAACTTTAATGAAAATAGGGTATACACAATAGGAGTATTTATATGTCTCAAAGAAGTTATTCACTATTCATCATGGGCTATATTGTCCATTCTTCATTTGATACCAGATGTTAGAATGATTGTGTTTATCTGTATGTGTTGTACCTGATTTATATGTCTGTGGTTTATGACAGCAGTGTGTTCATGCATTGACACCTGTTATAAAACTTGGAAGCTGAGGTAGTCTGGACTGAATTTCAGCCAGAATATGTAACTATAAGGTAGATAGGAGAGAATGAAAAACCTTGTAAAAGAGTAAAAGCTTGAATAGAGGTTTTCCACTTGATTACAGTAAAACCTGTGTCTAGTGAACACCTCTCTCACTAGGCTAGTGAATACCTATGGGCCCCTTCCTCCGCACATACTCTACTGACTTCTATATAAATTACCCTCTCTGTAGTGAACATCTACTAACACTGAACATATTTTTTGGCAAAAGTGTTCAATATTCACATGATCTACTGTTGTTCAAAGTTTTGGAGAGTAACAAGTCTTAGAGTCACTCATCGCTCAACTGCTAACTTCAGAAGCAGACTGACAAATAAGATCCAGTGTCAATAAGCCCTAATTAAATATTTGTATATGGATTGTTTCATCTGATGATAGTTTAGTATTCCCCGATGACATCTTTAGGGAACTTGTGATTCCCTAATGATGTCATCAGACTCATCGGGGGGGGGGGGGGGGGGGGGTGGGGGTGGGGGGGGGGGGGTAAACAAATTAAAACATCCTTCTTCATTCACATTTAAAATGATTTATCACAGAATTAATATAATTTGGGAAATTTGTTGACACATTAGTCTATTGCCTTGGTTTACATTGACATACTCATATCATATACTCATATCTTGAAGTATGGTAGAGTTGTCTTAATCCAGCTATCAAAGAATCCATGAAGGCTATTTAATTTTGTAAGGTAATCAAAATGGGGTATGCCAGATTGTGGGATTCACAACCTGTACTATCCCCCTCAAACATTAAATAGAAAATCAGAAGGGTTTGCCAAAGTAGCAATGATTTGTATGATATCATTGTTCTTATGTACTTTTATAAAAGCAAGACCTGCCATTATTTCATAGTTTTACAGCATATGGATGTAGTCATACAAGAAGCTAAGGTAAATTCATTTTATTGATTCAACTCAGTCAGTAAAATGACCAAGTTAACAAGTGCACACATGTACAATTAACATGTAGTTGAAATCAATGGTTTTTAGTGAAATAATCGTCCAACTCATAAACCACCCTCTAGAATATATGTATACTTTCGTTACTTATGAATCAAATAATTATTTCTTAACCTAAATTCACACTAGAACCTCATCTTATTCTTGCTTTTAGAAAGGTCAAACACCTTGGGCGAATCATGACGACTTAAATCAGAAATTGAAACTGTGTTTATGGCAATGTCTTCAAGGCTAGTACACCTACACATGTAAAGGCCCATGAAATTATATTTTGTTTGACAGGTTATTTGAATGAACTAGGGTTTACTGACATCTGGCTATTGATTAGTTTTTATTAGGTTTTATACTGAATGTTTTTTTTTTGTTCCACATATTGATTCATAAGGTTTGGGTTGCTTTACTCCAAGTTCACTTAGATATCTCTAGGGGATGATACTCATGAAATTAAGATATATGACTGTTGAAGACAAACGTCAGTTAATAGCTTCTTTCATTAGAAATATCATTAGAAACCATTAATGTATCAATTATTAGTTTGATTGGTTTCGAAACACTATATTTGGACACTTCTGATTGGTTTCAAATAGATTTTCTGCAAATGTCTTGTCCTAAGAACAGGTCGGAAAAATGGATAATGGATAAAAAGCACAATACTCGTACATTTACACACATGCATTCAAAAAAGAAAACCATGTAAATCAACAAACAAATCAAAAGGTTTACAGTATTTTCATATGAATTTAATTTGAACATTTGAACAATTTTACTGCTAAATATTGTTCTATGTTATGGATCAAAATTAACCTGTATTAAGTAGATGTTTATATATAGGATCAACTGCCATTATGTTAAAGTATTAAACTCTTTATATTAAAATGTAGCATTGGCTATGTGTACACATACCTTGATCATAATCATAACACACACATGTAAACAGACCACCCCTTTTATTAGTACAGATAAACCTGTCTTAGTGAATACCTCTGTCTCTGTAGTGTCTAGTGAACACTCCTTCTCAGCATAAACTCTACCACTGACTGCTGTATTAAATCACCTCTCTGTAGTGAACACCTGTGTCTAGTGAACACTCCTTCTCAGCATAAACTCTACCACTGACTGCTGTATTAAATCACCTCTCTGTAGTGAACACCTGTGTCTAGTGAACACTCCTTCTCAGCATAAACTCTACCACTGACTGCTGTATTAAATCACCTCTCTGAAGTGACATATACAGTGAACACATTTTTAACTCTCTAGGTATTCACTGTTCACAGGTTTTATTGTATGTATAATTCATGTTCTAGAATAGTAACATGGTCTCCAGGGTTTGTACTCTGATGTCCAGAAGTTAGTAGCAATCACTTTTCTCTGAATAAGACAAACAAATATACAGTTTGATCCAGATATCCCGGACAGTGTATCACTGCAACGTGGACTGAGGAACTAGAGCCACCTGGCTAACTGTCCCTCATGAAATCAAACTATTGCCAAGGGTAGAGGGACTTTCAGAGCTACCCTGAATCTTCCTTGGCTGAGCCACACTTAATTCCCTCTTAACAATTAGTTTTGATATTAGGTATACTGTTCACATACTTTCATTAACATATTCAGCATGTTTTGTCGTACAGTATGACATGATTAATGAAGACCTTGGGAAACTTAAGGTGAAATGTTTTCATGAGGACACTTACCAGTATTTAGCTTACTGCCACAAGTAGTTTATATAGGGAAAGTTAATAAAAAGTAGCATTAGGGTTGTTTGGTTCAAATTCAAACATGACCGTGCTCTATTCGAATTTCTCAACCAATCAGAATGCAGCATAGCCAATATAGAACGTTCTCTAATTCTCCATAGATGCACGACCATGCTCTATTCAATCTGCAATTTGCATTGTTTTGAGTGACGTCACATCTCAGCTGCACATCTGGGGCTCTGTCCGGGGATAGCTGTTCTTTTTTACTCCCTCCGTAACTACTGTAACTATTTAACTACTTGACGTCACATTAACACCCCATGTTTGCATACACCGTATAAAATCTAAAACGGGGAGTAAAATAGAACAGCCCAAACAAATTCTAAAATTTTTCCGGCCAACTTCAGAATCTTGACAGCATGCGTATTCTTCCTTCATGCCCGTTCCACAGACACGGCTTTTACTAATTTTTATGTTTGAATCGGAATAAATAATGATAGGCCATTCAATATGGTGAAATTCAGCACTCGTTGGACAGAATGTTAGGTACAAATGCACTCACCTTCGGTTCGTGCTTTGTACAACATTCTGTCCAACTCGTGCTGAATTTCACCATATTGAATGGCCTATCATTATTTATTCCTTAAATACATAATTTATGGTTTTTATGCATTTTATGTTTATTCATGGTATCCGCATAGTATTTAGTAATTAACACGTAAAGGATTAGACCTGTTTAGTCCCAGTTGTAAAGTCCCAATCAAATGATACATGTCATGCCAGTGGAGGATGGGGGGGGGGTCACCCCTGCATCCTTTCCTCAGCTTTATGGTCAATTTGCCTGAATATTTTAATTTTGAATTTATTTCAACTAGCCGTTTTATTGCATTTAGGGCATTGCACCTGTCAGTATCGGGGGGGGGGGGGGGGGGGGGGGGCAGAAATTCTTTTCAACTGACTTTGATTCAAAGTTGTCAAAAATTGACCCCCACTAGAATTTTTGGAAAAGTGGACCCCTTTGGCAAAAGCTTCCAAAAGGCCTGAGTATATTTAGAGCTTTAAGGCATTGTACATATATCAGTATATTTAGGGCTTTAGACTTAGGGAGATGTTTGTCTTACTGAGGCTGATGCTTGGTAGTGTTTACCTTATGAATGTGCACTTTTACTTCACCTTGTCATTCACCGTAATATTTGTTTTATAGATTTCTTTACCATATAGTAATAAGAACACTGAGCAATGTTAATAAATCAATGCTTGACTTAAATTGTTCAATTATTTTTTCTTCATGTTTCTCTTTTAGTTTTCAATTTCTTTATTAGCAAATGTACAGTTGCTTCCGTTTATGATTAGTTAAACTTATATTTTCCATCATTTTGAAATATAGAAAAATGTATCAAATCCAATATATACAATGAACATGCATTCGAGCATTTTTGAACCTCAGGTTGAAAGATTAAAAGATAGAGTATACATAAAAAATACATGAGCAAGCAGTTATAGTATTTAAATTGTAGGATTTTTAAGACTTAATGGTATCATAAATCCTCAAGGTATCTGTTTTCAAGTCCATTTTAATACTCATCATATCTTTCTGTTTCACTTGCCAAGAAGAAATGAGATGTCATGGTTTATCATGGTGGGTTATGTTGTACCTCGTTGTGTGGCAATTTACTGTAATTATCAAGCATGATAATTTAATTGTACATGGGGTCATCTATACATACAGTACAGTGCAGTGCAGTGCAGTGCAGTGCAGTGCAGTACAGTGCAGTACAGTGCAGTACAGTACAGTGCAGTGCAGTGCAGTGCAGTGCAGTACAGTACAGCACAGCACAGTACACAATATAAAGAAATGCCTCAAATTCATGAAATCCTCCATTGAGTATCTGGCT